TAGTCTTTAAATGTTCGTGGAGGTTGAGGGAAGGTATAAAAGCTGAAAAAAATTGATTCATTACTGGGAAAACCATAAAAACAGCCCTTTTCTATTTCCCATACAAACGTTTTTTTTGACATTAGATTTGACAACTAACTAATATGTCAATCATTCTGTCGCACTTCAAAACACGGAGATTTAATGCTTACAGGTAAACTCCAAAAATATAAATAAAAAACGTAATAGATATTTCTTGATTATAGGGCGATACGAAGTTCGCCAGGTCTTCTAGTTCTTAATAAAAATAAACACAAAAAGACTACATATGTAATGATTTTACCTGATCCTTTGAAATGGTCAGTAATAAAAATGAGTACAAGCTAATTGTAAAATTAGCTATTTATAAGTCTTCCTACATTTTAATACAATATACGTAACTGAGTTCATCATTGGAAACACTTTACTGTCATTTACATTGTTGTAATACTGATACTAGACATTCTTACTATACAAAGTAAGGACATTGAAACAAGATAAACAATGTAAACAAACCTACCTGAATTGTGAATGCCTGATCGGATTTAAATAAATGTCTTTACTTCTGTTGTTTATTTTTAATAAGCACTGAAATAAGTATTATATATTTTTAAACCTTAATTTATCTAAACATTAATATACTATATTAGTCTTACAAGTATACATGTGCCTAATCATAATTTTATATACTAACTTCGTGATAATAGTAGTCTCATTGATATTCGTAAAAGTCATAATAAAGGAATGTTATTATTTTCAACTTCTGTTGTAAGAAAACATTGCAATAGAAAACATTAAAGTAAAAAAAATACAGAAGAATTCAAACCTTCTTTTTTAAGGTCGTTTAAACTACAAGAAAACATTTTATTCTTGATAGACTATAATTGATTTTAAATGTAGCACAACATAAAGTCAACGGCATTAGAATCGTTACGTACGCAGATGAGCCACGATTATAAAATTATACATTGAATCATTTCATAATCGTTCGTGTAATGGGAAAATGGGTGAGCCATTTCATAATCCGTGTGCGGTGTGGTCCTATGGTTCAGACTTCAGAGAATGGCTCATTTAATATGATTCGTGACTGACATCTTAACTGTCAAGTGATTTGATAACTGTCACACAGTTTGAGACATGCATTGCGTGCATACGAACGAATTGAGACTAATAATATTAAGTGAACTTATTAAATGTTGTTATTTTATTTATTTTTAAAGTACATATATAATAATTAAGTACTATAGTTGAATTTTTATGTATTTGTATATATACATTGAAGTACATTTAGTCCTATGATGTTTATCTTTTTCTATTTCGTCTATTTTCCGTATCCAAATATAAAGGACTCCAAAGGCATTATTTGACATGTCCGCTTCACTAATTATCGCTTTAATGAAAGTTTATGAAAGACACATTAAGGCTGAAACTAAAAATAAATGTCTTTGTGTTTCTCCTTAAAGGAGTTTCTTGTCTATGGTCGTTTTTTTCTCAACCATGTTTTAAACAAGCCACACAGCTCGTATCGAATTTAACAGCGGTAACTTGACATTTGTGACAGGCGCGTTGTTTTATAGTCTATGTACTTGAACGCTCCATTATAAATAGCATAAATATATTTATCTATTAAATAATTGGAGTTAACTTTGAATCATAGTTCTTTATTTTTACATCAAATCTCTCATTTATTTTCATCTTATATCTCTTAATTCGTTACGTCATCGCTTTACCGATTTTTCAATAATCAAGTTGCGCCAATTTTTCGTGGACCGTGCTAACGAACGACTAGATTCAGTTAGTTTCAAATATTGTTTACTTACTTTTAATCTAGACTAGTAATTTAAAATCTATACAATATTTTTAGTTATTAAATTGTGTGGTTTTAATTAAACGCAACTATGTAATTTTACTATGTAAACAAAATATTTTTTAATCTGTATTATTTAAACGTTTTTAATATGTTGTCTTTATTTAAGAGGTAAAAGACATTAAATTTTTTATAACATTCTAAATAACAAGAATTCAAAAGGTTTTTAAATACTGAAAGAGCGTTGTGACATCATGAATCGTCGTATAATAGCTAAAGTAGCTGCCGAATTTAAACTAGGTCAAGAGGGCGTTTACGATTGAGGAAATGTATAAAAAATTAACGCCCGGAGATTAAAGCTGGACTTATATAATCATTAAATAAATTTTTCATCTGCAAAATATTATATATAATATTTTAGATCTAAATTAGTATGAATGTTTGTGTTTTTATTTAACCCCAATAAATATGACATAGAACAAAAATAATTTAATCTATCTGTGATTAAAACTCTATGGCTTTGTATTAGAATGATTTGACAGATATGCCATGACTGAAAAAGGAATATTTATAAACATTAACATTTTAAATGTTCGATAATAATATTATAACATTATAATTCTATTCCGTTTTTGTAACAAATAATTGCGATATTTTATAGTATATAAATATAGACTTGTAGTTATTAATGTACCTTTAATGTAAAAAGAATTGGTCTTGTAAAAATATAAATTCCCCAACGACTAATGTTGTCGTTGACCTCTCGGGTCACTAAGTGAAGCTAATTCAGCTATTTCTATTACTGTTCAAGCTTTCTCTAGTCCCATTATTGTAATGTTAAAAAGCATGTCCTGTTAATAAACGGAAGTTGATGTCTAACAGCTATTATTACTTGATACTATTAAGTTAATTGAGTTAATAATGTGTTCGGTGTGACTGAATAAGGATATTAAGAGTTTTAATATATAAAAATTATATTGCCATTAAGATAGATGGAAAATAAATAACCCGTAATTATTCAGCGGCCACTTGTTTCTAGGTTGTGTTTAGTGGAGACGATACTAAAAAAACGGATTACCTAATAAAGTTATGACGATATCGAATTAAATTTATAATTAGTAAAAAAATGATTTTTTTCTTTTTAGTTTCTAAAAGTCTTATGTATTGGTCGGATTATTCTAATTTAATATTTATGATATTTAATTAATTATCTGTAAGTGCATATAATTCCGTAAAAACCCGCGCTATTCATGTGTAGGTAAACATATTGTCAAATTTATAAGTACACTCTACTTAGTACAATCTTTGAATTATCCAAAAATCAGAGGATTCTTTGAAATACATACGTGTATATGTATAAATGTAATGTAGAGTAAGGTCTATCAAGTTTTCTTTTATGAAACAAAAAATATTCACTCTAGTCCGTGTCCAAAAAGCCACGTAGCAGAATCGAATTGACTAAGTAACTAATATTATATTATGTAAACGTAATTTTTACCTTTAAATATAAAATATTTTAATTTTATATAGAATTGTTTTTGTATATATATTTTTACCATTCATTCATTGCAAACGTCAAAATGTTAGTCAATTACAGAATTGATTCAGGCCGTTGACAGCTCGACGCCATTTCGTAAAACAGATAATAAAAGTAAACTTAAATGTTTATGGGTGGTTTATACTCAATAGATAAAAACAAAGCGAACTATATAGAGGTATAGACAAGTCTAAATTAATTAAAATCAAGACTTAAATATATTTTGATGTAAAAAATACGTTAGATTGTTGCTCTCAATGTTTTTGTATAAATAGTATTTTAATGTTACAGTACTATACATCGTTGATACTTGTGCATTATGGGCGAGTATATTTTATTATTTTACTTGTTAAAAGCTTAATGGACTGGTTGCGAACGAACAGCTTTTATGAGGAAAAGTTTTATATACCTCCAGTTGAACCATATCGTTAGCGACGCGTCGAAAGTAAAATAAAACTTAAGTGGCCATTATTACTCATCGGAGTTTTATAACTAACTTGTGATTTTTAATTAATTAAGTATTTTTATATTTCGTATGAAAATTAAGTCGTAAATATCATATTATTTCTTAATAAACAAGTTGTTTAAGTTAAAATATTTATTAATTTGTTTGGTTCATTTTATTGAACTATGAGGTCAATTCGCTAAAAATTGATTTAACAGAATTATCATCATTCAATTAATAGAAATTTCATATGAAATAAAGTTATTGTTCAGTGATATTTAAATTGTAAGTTAATAAGAAATAATCAATAAAATAAAAAAGCCCGCCCACGTCGGAATAAAAATAAGATCTTTGTCACTGTGAAGTGAATGACCAAGCAATAAATTCGTATATATATAACTGAACTGGCTTTATTGAAACGATCGACATTAAATAAATAGCATTTAGAGTAATTAAACGATAAATTGAATTAGTCTAAATAGTTCTACGCTATTCGTGGTATGCCCGGACCGATTCCCCGAGGGGCGCCATTGTCTTCCTAATTAAGTTGTCAATAGTCGTCCTTGCTGTGAACTCCTTTTAGACATGCCACCCACAGACAAGACATTTTTTTTTGGCGACGAAAACTTTATTCTTAAATTTTATACTATTTGTAAAAAAAATATTCGATTGAAAATGAATGAATTGTAATATATGTATATATAATTTACAACTTAAATATATCATTGTATTTTATATGTTGTCTTATGAATTACCTGTGCTAAACCTATTTTATCAATGATACTCCCACGTCTGACACGCAATGCTCAAATGTTAATATGTTAATGGGTGTATTTCATTAGCAGTTGGCGTTTTAGAATAGATATTTAGTTTCAATTATTGCAATACCGAGACGTAAAATAAAACATAATTTAATAGTTTTGGACACAATTCCATAAGTTTAAATCCTTTTAAGTTTCTACATACGTCAGAATATTTTTTTTTTAATTAAATTTCACTATCATTAAACAATATAGATCCAAATTCAAATATTCTTTATTTTATTTCGAAATATTAAACAATTATATAGAAACTTTTTTGTGTCACAGAGTTTATTTAAATTAAAAAAAAAACAAAACGCTCGCTTCAGTTTATAGTGTGTCCAACAGTCGGTAGCGAATTAGCGGCTGGATGTACAAAAGTGACCGCGCTTCCTGCTCTCACCGCGTGGGCGTCGCGCGTGGCGACGGCGTGCCTCAACGCTCCTCAATGAACGACGCCATTATGGTAATCGGTGAATTTTAATCAGTCGTGGGCCGTGATTTACACATTGACAACCTAACACACTGTCGTTTAATTAAAATAAAACTTAATGAATGCATTACGGTTTGTTAAGTTGTGTCGAAATTGTTGTTATTGGGTAATTTGTACCAAAAATACGACACTTCAAAGCGATTAGTATGGACCTTTACATAGTTAACTAATATATTGGTTTCATTAATGTTGTACAGTCTTCTTCTTCTACCTGGCAATTTCCCAGTTATAGCGAGGGTCTGCCTTACATGTTGTGTATAGTTTTGGCTGTTTGTTTTTACGACCGGCCGCCTGCCTGACATCAACCCTCTTTTGGGAATCAACATTAATCAGTGATGTCTAAATAGTCTTTGAAAGTACATATGACTCGGAAAAATCACATTGGTACTTGCCCGGGCCAGGATCGAACCCGCGCCCTCGGCAACGAGAGACGGGCCCTTTAACCACTAGGCCACCACTGAATTATTTTATTATATAATTAATGTTGTACAGTGTACTTGGATATAATCAAAGAATATGCCTGTAAATTAAAACCACCTTCAGATATATGTACACGTTGACTTTTAGAATAAAAATCTGTCTTCTTCCAACTGTTCGAAAAAAAAACAATAAAATGACGAGATTAATAGATTTTAATTAAGATAGCAAACTTATCTAGGATTACGATTTGGATCGTATTCCTGTAGTATTTAAAAATTCAAATTATAATAGCAATAAGTTATATAATACAAATGTCCTACAAAGAAAAAAATCAAGACTGAAATAGAAACTTTCGTTATCGCTACCAAAAATGCATTACACATAATAATTCATCAAAATTCTTGCCGAATTACTATATGAATTTAATAATTACAATTGGAACGTTAATTCTGTTTCAACCACAATGTAATGACAATGTACTAAATGACTCACGACAGAAATGCAGCATGTTTATTCTCGTGTCAATTAACACGAGTCTCGAGTTATCATAAAAGATTATATGTATCAAAGTGTCGAGTAATTCACCAACTGACTCACGAGTCGGCCGAGGCAAGTTAATTGCGAACTACCGGATTCTATTATTGTCCCATCTAATTTATTGTACAACACATTTTGTGTGAAAATTCAGAAATGCGCCATTATGTTTTCTAACTTTGACCGTGTTTGAAAGATTAAAGAAATGCATTTATTTCATTCCACAAACTCCTTCGTGTATTTTCCACACAGTAAGTACCTACTCAAGACTATAATTCGTCCAACAAATAAAAAGTTGATCATCCCAAAATTCTACGATTCCAGTGCGATTGAAACCATAGCATAAAATAAAGAAAAAGTTTTAAAAAGATTTATCATTATTTTGCTTATTAATACGAAATTCACTAAAACTCGTCACTTAAAGCTATTTCATGTTTTTTTATTAAAAATCTAATAATAATTCTTGTTAGAAATAAAATTTTATATTGCTTTTTTCAAACATACACATTATGTTAGTATAAACAAAAAAATATATTATTCACAATAATCAAATATTAAAACATTGTTATTTAATTATAATCTTTTAAAAAGCCTTGTAATTTAAAATAATTGAATACCTTATTTCCATAAACACCCTTTATATTTATTCCCAAAATGGAGTTTCATTTTAAATAGATTTCCTCATAATTTCCGTTCACGATCTTATTTATATTACATAACCGTTTGTTTGAATTCATTGCGAATTGTGAATGTACGTGATATATTAATGAAAATCATCTATGGGAAAAATATGCCTGGCACAATATTACAATGTTTACTGCGTACGACGCGTGTACCGTTTCTTACTCAACAACCAACGTTAACTACTCGTACTAATTTATGAATGAAAAACTGTTAATTATCCGTATTTAGTGTGACGATTCATGATGCCAATTTGAAGTAATACTGGTCTATGTTCTACAATCCATTCATTTATAATACTTAATAGAATTATATTTTACAGTTGTACGTCTTCAAATTTAATTTCAAAATGAAGACAAATGAAAGCCATTATCAGGATCAATAAATAATAAACTTTTGCTATATTACAAAGTTTCATAATTCAAATGATATAGAGGGCGATGATCTTATATAATTTAATATATTGTTTTGTAACATACATTTATGATATTAAATATATGTGTATCTATATGAATAGCATTTAAGATTCTATGAAACGTAGACACAAGTCATTAAGGGCTAACTAATATATAAAAAAACTTACAAAATGTTCTCTAAAAAAGTCTATTTAAAATATTCCGTCATTGAATTAAAAATAGTTTTTTTTGATTCCATTAAATGCTAGTAGTATTCTTGACAGAATACATATAATGCAACGGTTTTAAAGATACAGCCTGCAGTTGTAGATTGAAACAAATTAATACTTATTAAATTTCTTATTTTAATTCTTATATAAGATTCGAGTACGGCGCACATAACATAATATATTTTTTTTTTAATAAAAATTTTAATAATGCACTGTAGCTAAACTGGGTTTGAAGATATTTTTTTTCATATCTTGCCAGTTATCTGGGCTAAACCTTAAAGCCGCGATACAAGATAAAATGGCGCTCAATCCCGCCTTTAATAATACTCAAACCTTATATTAATTTATAAAATATTGAGAATAATGAATTCAAAATTAATTAAACATTAAATATCCCAAAAAATAGATTAATTACTATAGACCTTTTGACATAAATATGAGATCTTTAAGTAAGGGATCTGTCAAAGTCAACAACAAGATTAAGGTCTTCACTAAATGAAATTCCAGCGACCCTCGCTAAGAAATAATACCCGGTGCCTTTGGAATTTGCTCACCATAAATATATATACATTCAGGTTGACCAGGATAAGATGTTAGTCTTGGAAATAATGTACAAATACATGTAATGAGGTACATTAATAAACTAGAGTATTAAGGTGGCACTACACTTGGCGTTTATTTGTGGTGTTCGGCCAAAAAACCATATGTGGAGGATTTGAAATAAGATACATAGACAAATAAGCGAAAACGCATAAAGACGTGTTGTTAGCATGCCAAGTGTGGATGTCGTGTTTGCGCTATTTGGACAAATGCGGCAAATACGATACACCAAGTGAAGCGCCACTTTAAGGCTATTTTGAACCACAAAATGTCACTTTATGTATGACAATACGAAAATAAGACAATCGATAAAATATGAAAATAATACTGTGAAATCGATTTTAGTTTTAATAGAACGAGGAATAGACTGTTTGCTATTTTTGTGTTAGCTAAATTTATGATTTAATAGAGATAGTTTCGATACGTACTTATATTAGTTGCAAAGTTGGTGATCATTTGAACTTTAGGACATACGCTAGTTGGTTTGTAATATGTATCGAATTTTCTTATAAAAACAATACTTCTTAAAGAAATGTTGAACGAAAATATAATTATAAGACAATATAAACTAATGCAGCTTACTATATTAGTTATTTAAAATTTAATTAAATTTTATGTAGCTGTCTTGAACAACGATAAATTTTGAATATATTTTCATGATGCTCATAGACTGACTTGATTAAATTCTTAATCCACAAATGTCCACTGCAATATTTTACGTTACTCGTAATAGCTAGCTCATTCTGTTGTTTTTAATTTAATATAATATAGGTACAGTAAGACAGTCTGAATAGACTTATAATTTGAACTAGCTACATTTAAAATTGATTATATGTTCTTCCTATATGTATATTAATAAACACAGACTATAAGCAAACTACAGAAAGTTCTTGACCCATTTTATCGTAATTAATTTTTATATTAGTTTTCCACTTATTTTTTACTATTTACTTTGTTTTTTGCGTCCCTTATATCTCAAATACATATATAAAGACGGAATTGGGAACAACAAGCATATAGTTCAAGATATATAATTAAATATATTGTCAAATAACTTGTTAATGAATATCATTAAATTAACATATATCATGTTTATGGTATACGATTGACGAAAAAGCTTTTTATTCCGCCATAATTATGTTTGTTTTCCAGTACATAATCCATAATAATAAAAGGATAAAAAGACATATATAGATTCCCCGTTGCATTTATAAAGCTTCTTCGAATATATAGTCCATTTTTTGAAGTATGGTAAAATATTTTCAATAATTGACAACTGGCATTTCGTGAGACTGATAATTAGGTGATATTTGGATATTTTATGCTTAAAACAAATGTCACTAATAGTTAAAATTAATTATTTAATTTAATGTACTGTAACAAGTTATTTGTCTTCCTTACGATTGCAACTTGTGCCATTACTAGAGATAATAATTAATGGTTGTAAAAGAAGTGTCAAGGCCTAAGGTTTGACATTACTAAGAAAGTCGCGTATAGTAAATATATTTATAAATAAAAATGTTGCCATTGGTAAAATATTTTTCGATCCCAGTGTAAATGAAGCTTTAGTTAAAAATAAATAAATATAAAGTTATTCATTTTATTTATAATACAAATAGGTGTAGTGAAATAACCTAGTATCAGAACGTATCAGATGGTAAAACGAAAACGCATTTGACCCACTTACTCGCAACATATTTGACTATAGAGGAGGCGTTGCAAATTGCAATAATAAGCTACTGTAATAACATAAAAATGTGTTATTATTTTTAGTGAAATAGTTTATTATTTACAAAAAGTTTACTTAATGGTCTTTCAATTTCAAATGTTTACAGAATTACCAATGTGAAAAGCTGTAAATAAAATTAAGTTTTGTTAAAAATTCAATCAATCAAAACGATTATGTAATACATTTATTAAAAGGATCTTTCAGTCGTACTTGCATGCGGAACTTCTTTCTACACAACTCTAAGTATTCATGTGTAAAATTAGACAAAAGATTTTATTAATTTGTCGAGCGTCTAGATCATAATTGTATCTTTAGGAAGAGTTCTCGAACTGTTGTTCCGACGTGTAACTATCTTTCTTGCGTTTTATTCTCAAGAAACTTGTCATGACTCACTTTTTTTTCCTATACTAGTGATGAATGTATTCTTTAACGTCTACTTGCGCGTTGTCTGAATACGATCGTTACGAATAATAGTATCGTTTAGTAAAATTTTGTTTAATCCTTCACGAATGGCTTTCTTTGGGACAAATAGGTACATGTAATTATTTTAAAGACACCAAACCTTTACAAAATTACAGCATTTATTATGACGCTGAAATATTTATATACAAGAAAGTTTAAAATAAAATATTTTAAAATGGCAAATTATATAGATTAAATGCAATAAGACTCGATATAGCTATATAACAAATTCTAATTTTATTTTTATTTCAATAGCATATTAATTGATAGGTCTTATCAGTATTTGCCCCTGTCTGACTTTTGATCCTTTTGTTCTATTTTATTTCCAAATTGGACCTACAGCATGTTGCTCACATATACAGGGTGACTGGTGAATTACTATCAATATTTAAGGAGAATACTCGGTACATGATTCTCATTCGAATTATGTAAAAAAAATAGGTACTTAATTTTTGACCAAATTTCCGTATAAATAAATGAAGTGTGTACACGTTCCAAGTGTTCCAAGTGTGGACGCGTGCGGCGGCGTGCTGATACAACACTACGCCGCCGCCGCGTCTGTGTGAGTGTGTGTGTATACCTAATCTGTAGGGTGTTCATACGATGCGTAATTAATTACATAACTTTTGGTTAACTTTACTTAGAAGTTTATTAATATTTATGTTATATTAATTTTTATTTTGTCATATATGATCGTCAAATATCACGTCCTCAAATATCGATAGTAATTCACCAGTCACCCTGTATAATGTAACATATTTACATTTTACGATTTTTGCAAAAATATAATTGAAATTAGTTAAATTACAAACATTATTAAGATTTTATAAGCACTGTCTGAGTTTATTAACAAACTACTTCTTACTGCTTGGACTTTAATTATATCGTTTTACTTAAACGGAAACTGATAGGTAAATATTACAATGCGACATTCATGTAATTCTTATTATTATGAAATTAAAACAAACATGAGATAAGGTGTCGTAAAAAATGGAATAAAAATGCTGGTCGTTAGAAAAATTTATCGCAAATTATAATAATAATAAGTAATAATAATAATATGTCTTAATATTTGAAATAATGAAGAAATCTTCAGTAGAAAGATACATCTTCGTCTTCGTAATCAACGTACCCAGTTCATCGCCCCTCAGGAAAATTAAAAACCCTTCTTGCATTTGCATTTCTGATGCCGAAATTAAAATTTCAGTACTATTGTCTCATAGCTCACAATATGAGAACATTGAATAAGAACTCGTTTCATTACGAAAGTAGAAAATAAAAATACTTTATGAATTGGATTACAATTATGTAATTTCTGCTGATAATGTTTATTTTCAAGGAATTTTATATAGAGATCATTATTTATTTATTGCTAAGACATTTTTATTAAAAAATATTTTTTTATTATAACAGCATTTCGTATGTACCTAAAGTTTGACTAACAAATGTATTACAGCTCACAAACTGTGTGTGGTTTAATGAATACATGTTTCTTTGTTTCAGGTTATTTTGGCAAGTACTTGAACAAATACAACGGTTCATACATACCTCCGGGCTGGCGTGAATGGGGCGGACTCATAATGAATTCAAAATACTACAATTATAGCGTTAACATGAATGGAAAGAGGATAAAACACGGCGATGATTATAATAGAGTGAGTTCATTTAATTTACTCGAGTAATAGTAATATTTTACTTATATTACTTAAATTTAAGTAATTTCGAACAAACGGTGTTTACTCTTATTATTACTTTTAATACCAACGGGAGTGTATTCACGACTTATGTACTCAAACAATCTTTATAGAATTTTCGTAAAGGGATCCGAAAGGTCATGGCTATGTGAAATCCATAAAACGATTTTTGCTCCGTCGATATATTTGAAAAAAATTAAACTTTGCCTTTTAAATATGTTATTAAATATATAGGAGTATTTTACAGGACTATTATCCGGACCTAATAGCGAATGATTCGATAGCATTCTTGCGTGCTTCTAAGCGCAGATTTTCAAGGAAACCGGTCCTACTCGTGATGTCCTTCCCCGCGCCCCATGGACCCGAGGATTCAGCTCCCCAGTACTCTCACCTCTTCTTTAACGTAACAACCCATCAGTGAGTATCATTAAGAAATTATCTATTTATCGACATATAAACAGCATAAAGGAACTAAATTTTATTAGAAGGGAGATTTAAACGTTCTCCTTTTATAAATATCTGATTGTATTAAACACAAATTCTTTAAAATGAATACATAACACGTATATATTTATCGTAAAATCAAAATACTATTATATTTTTGGTTACATATATACATAATCCGTATATTACTATCCAGTGGCAAGATTTTCAATCTACATTAACAAAATTTTATTAGAAGACACATTTAAACCTTCTCCTTATATAAATATCTGATTGTATTAAACACAAATTCTTTCTAATGAATACATAACACGTATATATTTATCGTAAAATCAAAATACTATTCTATTTTTGGGTATATTTATATACATAATCCATATGTTACTATCCAGTGGCAAGATTTTCAATTTACATTATATGTATGTTCGAAGTCCTATCTTTCAATTAATCGCATACTGTTTAGTCGATGATAAGAAGCTCGGTCAGGAGTGATAATCTGAATTGTGAAGCTAATATTATAGGTATATTCAAAGGATGTACATTCTGATACTGATATCTGATCGACATAGTTCCGTACGCCCTAGAAACTATAACCCTTATACAAATACATTATTAGTGAGGCACCCTTTCAGTATGCTGTCGGTATTTTCATTCAAAAATACCTGCAAGTCTGAGGTGCTAGGAATGCCATTCATCCAAGCATCCATCCAGCATTGTAAAATGAGATGCCATATTATACCACGCTCCGTCTGAAAAGGCCCCACAGAGCGCCCTTATTGCTCTCCTCATAAACGTTTTTCGGAAAGTGTTGTCTTAGAATTCTTTTCTGTTTTTATTTAGATGTAAATACTGAAGGTCGGTAGATAAATGTTCCCAGCTTTCTTTCTTTCCCGCCGTCACGATTTTTAAAAAGTTGTTTTTGAAACATTCTCGCAAACACTAATTGCGGCCGAATATTTTGAGGTCGTGGTCGACTTATATTTCTTTTTTTTTTTTGTTAATTCTATCTTCTGTAAATTTTAAAGCTTCTTTAAGTTGTGTACGAAATTTCATTATTTCTATATTGTTTTTTAAAGTTAACAGTTTAGGTGCATATAATTGTTTTTAAGTAAATCATTTTAGAGAAAAAAAAAATATTTTTTTAAGATTTTCCGACATAATTCGATTGAAATAACATTTATGAAATATCAAAACACTAAAGTCTGGTTTAAGTACAAATAGTCGAGATGTTATTCATAATCTTGCCACAAACGTTTCTCCTGAACTCATTATTAACGGGACGTACCAAACCTCGTATATATAAAAAGTGAAGCCTTGACTCGACCTTCTCTTTTTTGTTGCTCGGAAGTTTTGCGTAACCAACTTGCGCCCTAAATAATTTTACGTCCAGTCGGGTTCCAGAGCTGATTTATGTTTCATAAGACTGTTAAGGGCTTTGTATTATACTTTTTTTGTTTTAAAAGTCCTAGTTTTATACAATTTTTATGCTGGCATTTCTGAGTTTGATATGGGTGGGAAGAATCTGATTAACAATGGATCAATATGATTTCACTCTTGTTAAGTTCACATATCTTTAATTCTTCACTAATCTTTAATTGTATTATATTAAAGATCAATTTCCATTGAAATATTTTTTCCTACAATGTATGAAGTGTTTTAATGTTAAAAATATAATTCAATTCTATACATTATATACGTTGCCTCTCAGTAAGAGGAGCTATGGAACGTTTTATTTAGTCCCGGGATGCTGTTGACAGATATTGTCACAGTTGTGCTTTGTTGACTTGAAATTCCAATATGTTCGAATGTAAGAAAGTTGTCAGAACCGTCTGAATTCACAATATCGGTGAAATAAGAAATTAAATTTAAGAGAACGGAACAAGAAATAAATAAAAAATTTGCTAGCAAATTAAGCAAATAGTATTTTCCTTAAATATTTTTTTCGCTGCTTCATTTTTAAATAATGTCCTCAAATACACGGGCTGGTAGTGATACACGACGTCTCTTGTTCCACACACGTATTCAAAGTTAGTGGCCTACTTGCTTCATCGCTTAAAAGCTTTGTAAACTTCACAATTCTTATCTACCGTGTAACTTTCTAAGTACTTTTAAAAAGTATTTTATTTTAACGTTAAATATTTAGATGAAAGTGAATTCTTTAACTTGTTTCTTTGCCGTGTTTTATGTTGATGGACCGCAATGTTCTTTTACTTATACGTATTAACTATCATTTTGTATTAATCTTCAAAATTATCAGATTAAAGATGGATCTTATACTAAGTGTTTTTGCGCTTACCATAAGTTTTCTTCATCACACTGCAAACGAAGCGTTTTTAGTTTATCATTCACTAACTTAAGACAGATTAAGATAATGTGCTAAGATTTATGTAATTAAAAACAGTTAACTCAGCGTAAGCAGTGACGATGTAAACTTGTAGAATCCTTCAGATCTACAATTTACATATTTTTGGGTTCATCGTTTATTTGAAGATAACCTAAATATGTCATTAAACTTTATTATGATTTGAGCACAATAATCGCATGTATTTATTCTGTTTTGCAAGACCTTTGCGTGCGACGCCACGGCGGCGATAACCGGAGTTGAACCCGGGACAACAGCGGCTCTTTTAATATTCAAGTGTCGGCACTTTGTGTGGTCAAACCTGTCTCCGAAACCCCGGGGGTAGAGCGGGATTGATAAAAAAATACACAAATAAAACATCCTTTATTCATTTCTGTTATTTATTTACACAAAAAACTACGTCTGATATGGTTGTGATTCGCGACATTTTTTTGCATTATATCATAAAACAGATGGACTTAAAAATAAAGATACGTTTTGATATTACTCGATCAAGACTAATGGATATTTTTTATATTATTTATACGTATATGGTTTTCTTTCATAGTCATAAAGTAAAGTAAATAATATCTACTCAAAAAATATTCGTAATCAATCAGATCTTATTAAAGATGAATACAAATAATGTTTATGTCTTAGATAAAGTCTTATATAACCGCACTATGTATAGGACAATGAAATACTAATAATGCACTAATATTTTTTTATAGTAATTACAAGTATATGTTAAAGAGTCCTAATCTACATAAGTATATTTAATTTTAGCAGTCAACCGCACTATGTATAGAACAATGAAATACTAATAATGCACTAATATTTTTTTATAGTATATGTTCAAGAATCTGTATAAAGTATACTAAAGTTTTAACAATCAAAACAATACATTTGTTTTAATCTTGGTATATGTGAAGCTTATGAAATTTTTTTCATGAACTCATCTTCCAATATAATTATATTTTAATGTAAGGACTCGCTACACATAAAACGCCAGCCGTCTGTTCACTGTAAGCGCTCTCTTTTGTGTCGTCATCGTTATATCTCATGAATATGGAACGTTCGGAGGCTGTTCTTGAAAAATTTCAATTAAGGACATTCGATTTTATATGGAAATAAATTTACACAGGAAATGTTGGTACAGCTAGATCTAGTTTAAGATTATTTGCATGTCGTATTGTTTGACAGCGTTTGGTGTACAAACGTTCGTTCAAATCTAGCATCTGATTTATTGGAAGTTTGAAGTTGACCTAATACTGTTAGCATTTCATTGTTGTCTACGTATTGCTGTGATAAAACACTTTGTATCTAAGACATGAACATTATTCGTCTTTTTATTATAGATCTAAGTGACTATGAATTCTTTACGTAAGTAGGTTTTATATAATTGTTCTTTCCAGTACACCAACATACGATATGGCGCCAAATCCAGATAAACAATGGATCCTGCGGGTGACAGAGAAAATGAAACCGATTCATAGACAATTCACGGATCTGCTAATGACAAAGCGTTTGCAGACATTACAGAGTGTCGATATGGTAATAACTATTACATAAAATGTATGAAAATTATTATTATTTTATGTGTTAAAACACAATTTTAAACGCAATACACAATAGTTGAAAGTTGTACGAGATTGAACGCGATAATTCAAAGCAATAACTCAGATGAATGGATATTGCAATAGATGTTAAATTACAGGCTGTTGAACGAGTGTACCAGGAGCTCAAAGCACTGGGGGAGTTAGATAACACTTATCTGGTGTACACATCGGATCACGGATACCATCTAGGACAGTTCGGACTGGTTAAGGGCAAGAGCTTTCCCTTCGAATTCGATATAAGAGTACCGTTTCTAGTACGTGGACCGGGAGTCGAACCTGGCACTGTGTAAGTCTAATTGCTCATTTGAATTTATATTTAATGACGACATAATTCACTTAAGACCATAGAAAATCAGAATAAATAAGATTAAAATGTAAAGATATATCAGTATCACAATTGTAATAAATATTATCTATTTTACAAGTTATCCTCTTGGTAACAGTTTGGGTGTACGTTATAAAATTTAAAATAAACATAAGATATATAATATTTAGTGTTTGTCTATGACACGTCAAATATATATTTTTCTTTACATAAATATTTACATATCGTCGGGATTAGTGCAATACGCGTAACTACCGTTGGATACTTCCGCGTATCTACATTGGGATCAGTTTATCAGAAGAAAGTTTAAGCTGAAATATTGTATATATTAACGACTTTTAAGGTATTTTTTTTTTCAATATAGATAATATTTCTGCTTAAAGTTTCTTCTGATATATAATCTGGTTCCAATGTAGATATGCGGAATTATCTAATGGTAGTTACGCGGATTTGCATATCTCCGACGATATATTATGAAATTGCATAGTGCCTTACTTTGTGGTTAAAGAATTTTTTTTCTCATAAAGAACATACAACGTTCACTTAAATGTGATGTATTATATAATTTAATTTAATTAACAATTTAATATAGTAGTAACGACTTATACAACTCAAGAATAGTTAATCTAAGACCTAAGTGCTTTTTACAATAAGTTAATAAATTCTTTCTAAAAATCGTAAAGGTTTTTTCATCAAAAATTTCATTAGGTTAGCTATTATATAGTTTTATTACCTCAAACTATTGTTTTATTTTCGTATTCCGTGTTTTAATTACTTTGAACATAAATATGTTTCAGTGTGGACGATATAATCCTTAACATAGATTTGGCCCCCACTTTTTTGGACATGGGAGGAGTCCAGCCCCCGCCTCACATGGACGGCAGGTCACTACTGCCGCTGCTGCAACCGAGGAGACGACGAGCGACAGCACATTGGCCAGATACATTCTTGGTTGAGAGGTATGATGATTGTGGAAACGTTTGATCGTTTTTACGTAACAATTAACTTGTAAAAAGAAATAAGTGGAACTAAGACGATATTATCATCTATAGGAGATCTTGTCGTAACAAGAGTAATAAATAATTTTGAGTCTATAAAGATTAACATTATAGTTTATACTTTAAATGAACTTATTTGATTTTTGATGAAGCTACTTTATACGACTAGTATTAGACTCTTGTACTAAGGCTATTAGACTCTTGTGATTAAAATTTGTTTTTTAATATGTGTGAAATTATTTCTTTCATTCAAAATAATGATTTTATATAAATATCGGTTTAACAATAGAAATAATGTAGGTATTAATAATTTCAGCTCTGGACGTCGTGAGAACCAAGCTCATTTAATGGAGGAACGTTTGCGAGCACAAAAATACAGCAAAGAAATGAATTCAAGAACAACTACTGTTGTGCCGCTACTGTCCTCGTCGGAGAGCGGAGACTTTGATGATGAGTCTGATGATGACTTCCTTGAACTTGATGATGAAGATGATGATGATGATAATGTAAGTACTTTCATATAGTGGGGTGATTCAGGTCTTTATGTGTGTGTATGTGTTATGATTGTACGTGTGTGTGAATATGTATAAGTAAAGATATCTTGTTTCTTGAGGTACTTAGAATATATGGTATATTTCCAGGAGAGCTCTGAAGACTCATCCAACAAATCAAATCAACCTCTCATATCAAATGAAAGTCACAACCCCATACTCGAGGCGAGTCTCGATAAGATTCTTGGTGGTGATGGTGCTGTCAATAATCAGTACAATTACCTCAGCCAATCAGGTGGGTGGTGTTTAATCATTATAGTTTAAGACACAGTTTCACCAATCAATGTTAAATAAATAACGTCTTTTAATATATATATATATATATCGACTATCGAGCGTCCCACCACTCGCTAATGTCTGTTTAAATGTCTTAACAAGACAATCATATTAATTCCTGCTCTAGGGGTCCGTCACATGGCTAGGGGACTGAACGAAATAAACATTTTGGTAGTCGGTCATTTAATAATGCGTTCTTAATTTTTCATCGTGGGACGTAAATATTTTGACAGACAGTTATATTATTGAAGGTTCGTTACTAAATGCCTTGTTTAGATTTAACAAACAGAGCTTGGTGAAACTGGATCAGTTTTTCCTAATTTAAATGAAAAAAAAAAACATTTTATAAAATATATTTGTTTTTATAATACAGACAAAAATATAAGGTAATAACTAATTTATGTTTATAGAAATGGATGTCATTAATGGGAAGGCAGCACGTATAGCGGCTGAATGTTCCAAAGCTGAGCTCCGGGCTCCCTGCTCCGTCGGACGGAAATGGAAATGTGTACTCGTTAATGGACGGTGGAGGAAACATAAATGTAAATATGAGGTAAGAGTCATTAACAAAAAATCTCGATTAGTATAGTCTTAATTGACGAAAAATTTGTTCGCAGGATATAGCTATACCACAACCGAAAATGAGCACGAAGAAATGTGCTTGTTTCACACCAAGTGGCCTTGTTTATACAAGACTGGAAACAGACGGTACGATCGCTAGACGACCGGTTGATTCACAGAAAGACAATAACACTAGATCAAAGAGGTCTACAGATAATGACGTGTTCGAACCGAACACTGTGGACACAATCCTTGAGGAAAATCCTAGCATCGGACATCTTAGTTTTAATAACGAGCCTATCGATGAAATAGAAAAACGGAATATAGAAAACAAAGTCGATAAACTCATCAGGGAAACTGAAGCTTTCCTCGAGGCGTACGAACGAACCAAAGATAATATAGAACATAAGAGAAGCAAGAGGCGCGCTCAGCATTGGGGTCATAAACACAAACCGCACAAGAACGACCCTATGTTGAACATGAATGAATCGTCTTTAGAGTGTAAGATAGATAAAGACGGTACCGTTAACTGTTCGCAAGTCATATACAATGATTTGAAAGCGTGGCATACAAACAGACTGAGTCTAGAAGACCAAATAAGAGAACTAAAAACGAAGTTGGAAGACTTAAAAGAAATTAAGAGGCATTTAAAAATAAGCAAACCTGTAGTCGAAGTACAAACAGTGACTCCGTCGTACGTCAACATGCATTTACACAATAAAACACAAACACCAGATAACACGAAAGATAGCTTTAGGAAATCACGTTTCCATAGAATTAAAACCAAGCACAGAAACAGTACAGTGATTGATAAAAAATTCAGACAACTCAACGAATATATCCTACCGACTGTGAACGGACACACGAGAGACGATATATTTAACACTCAACTCAGAAACGAAACATCCACAGAAGCAGTCGTCAAACAATTGAATACATTCGATCTGGTCGAAATAGATACCAATCAGACATTTTTAGAAAAATTACCAAAACCACAAGTAACTACGATCATAACAGAAAGTAACTTCTATGATCAGAATTTTGCTGCGGAAAAAAGCACACAACCAGCAATTACCACTACAGATGATACAGCGACTGATATTACAAGAATAAATAAAATATTCAGTAAAACACCAAAAACGGAACAACCAAGCCCGACTCAAGAAACTTCCACGGACGTTCTGTCAACATTGCAGTATTACAGTTCAGAAGCTGATAAAGTAATTTTAACAATGACAACGACGCCATCTCCTGCAGTTACACTAACAAAATCTCACCAAACCTATAAAAACCACACAAAATCTTCAAACAGACCAAAATCATCATCTCTAGGACCAACGAGATTCGATGCGTCGGAATATGAACAAAGAAATCCTAATAAAGGAAACTCTAATAATCACGGAGTATTCAGCAAACCGGTGGACGTGTTCCAAAGAAGATTACATCCTTTATTCATAGAGAATGAAGACAAGCATGTTTGTTACTGTGAAGAGAGTCGGTTAGTAGAATATTAAAAAAATGATGTTATTTTTAATGAAACATTATATAATAATATTGTCTTTGTAGCAAACTGAAACCAATAGGCAACTCGTATTTGGAAGCCACTCAAAGAGCGAGAGAAGAACGAAGGAAGTTAAAAGAACAGAGATTGAGAAAGAAACTCAGGAAAGCAAAGAAGAAGGTAATTAAATATATAATTGTACATAATCTTTAGAGCATATCTTCTGATACTTGATTTATTTTCAGGCGGAATTAGAAAGGTTATGTGAATCAGAGCGTATGAATTGCTTCCGACACGACAATGACCATTGGCGCACGGCCCCGCTATGGACCGCCGGGCCTTTCTGTTTCTGTATGAGCGCCTCGAACAATACGTACAACTGTGTGAGAACCATTAACTCAACACATAACCTACTCTACTGTGAATTCGTAACGGGATTGATAACATACTACAATCTACGTATAGGTAAGAGTAAAACACTATAAAAAAAGTATGTACATACAAGTAAATGGGTCATGAAATGTAAATAATGTTTTCAGATCCGTTTGAAACACAAAACAGAGTTAAATATTTATCGTCAGCTGAAAAGGAATATTTCCATAATCAATTGCAACAGCTTTTGACGTGTCGGGGACCGTCGTGTAGAAGATTCTCGCATTCAAATGTTGGAGGTGAACTATAAGAATTAAAAATTGTTTTTTATATTATATAATATAAAAATATGTTTTTAAAAATTTCGTTGAATGTTGCTTTTTTAATTTAAAATTTAATCTCAGGTGATAATTTCATATAGTGTATTTTTGCATACGGAACTGAAAATTAAAAAAAAAACACTAATTTGTGTATTCGACTTTTTAGTAAGAAATATGAGATGTCAGTCTCAAAATTAGTATTTTATTATATATAATAATTTGTATGTACTTTATTAGGTATCAAAGATGACGTAAGCAGACGGACTGAAGATGACCAACTTATGTATAGAGGGGAGCCAATTGGTTACAGTGAAAGGTAGCATATAGAATAATAACAAAATTTTATGACTAAATAAATTTAAATTCACCTAACACATTAATGTATTCGCTGTATTTAAAATTAAATTAAATATAACTTTGATGTACTTATTGTGCCTAAATATTTTTTTTGACAGATTCATTTTAAAAATAGAACACTCAATTGTCATGATGTCATTACTTCAAAATTTCTTTGGTTTAAAAATTAAACAGATTAAAAAAATTGCTTTGATTCGTCTAAATAAATATTTTATGGATTTATTTCTGTACAGGGCATGGCGATGGAGCGGCTACGGTCGTAGATATGCAAGAGCCAGAGAGTTGCACCGGCGTCGACATACCGCGGCCTTCTAGTCGATTAAAAATAATAATAATTTATTTGAATAAAATAAGTATTAGACATCGTCTTAATATATCGAGTGAATCATTTGTAAGGGAAATTGTTTGTTAGTGACATCTTGTAGCGAGTTACAGGCGCGGAATTTATAGTGACATCGAATTGTGTAGGGCTTCCTATAGTGAACAAGTTATAATAATTATGCTAGAACAAAGCTTTTAATGTAGAATGTTATATTGAAAATATCTAATAAAATCGAAATTGGGCTTGGCCCTATCAGGATATATGAATCTATTCTTAGATTTCAAATAAATGCATACCATGAAGTATTATAATATGTAATATTACTTAGTGTAGTTGTACTCTGTATTCTAGGGCCCTTTCTATATGGACTGTGTACTGATAATTTTTTTAACAGTAGTATGTCTAGAGCAAGTGTTATAATGTTTGTAGCGTGTTTTCATATATTAGGTGTTAAAAAGTGATATTATGTTGTTGCCATGTGATAATTAAGAATATTGTAGATTTATCACATGCTATAAGCCGGATGCTGAATTTTTAAACTTGCAAGTCTATTGTCTTCTGTGTATTAGTTTATTAATAAAAATATATGAAACGTATTTATTGTTATTATTGGCCTTTGAATTGAGTACCGTAAAACGGGGGTGAATAGGCAGTGTTTATATATTATGGGTATACTCTTATTTAGTATTTATAACTTGAGTCGCATCCCATACATTTAAAGACTAACATTTAATCATGTATATGAGAGTATTATTGAATTTTTAATTACAGATCGTTTTCATTTAAACATACTAGTGAGTTCATATGGTTGGCGATTGTCACTGTACTGATTATAACTGTTAGGGCTGGCACACTTTTCATAACCAGAAGCTTACAGACAATTGTGTAATTTTTATTGTATAATATATTGTAATATTTTATACACTAAAAATATTTTAAATACAATTAAAATAACACTGACTGACCCATTTTAATATATTAGTTATCTACTTATACTAAAATCAATTCATTAATTAAAAGATAAATTGGCACCTTTACTAAACAAATTATACAAACAAAAAGTTCTTCAATGAAAATAATTATTTGAAATGGTAAGCTAGGTCAATATAATATACAATAAAAATTAATCTTCAACTGTGATATACCATAATATTTCTAGCTCAGTCTTATGTTAAACAGTTTCAATTTCAACTTATATAATATTAATTCTATTGATAGTTAATCTTATTATACAGTCACTTAAACATGCCCATATAAACTGCATATTAACACCATCTATGGCTGGCTGGCTGAATACAAAACAAAATAAAAAAATTCAATATTTGTGACCAAAATTAACTTAAATACATATTTCCTTCGTAGTACTAGATAAAATATCTTCTGAATTCTCTACAGTTGATATATTTAAATGTTCAACACATCATCAATGTCACTTTCATCACATAAACTGAACATCGGCTGTATATTGTGAGTCAAGTCCTTGTCGTCTTGAGTTATATTTTCTATATTTTCATCTTCCTCAATAAAATTTGCCCATTTTGATGTTCTTGCTACCACCGGAGGTTCAAATTTAGGTCTTTTAATTGGGTTTACATTGTCGTTTATACTATCATTGTCTCTCAAAGTACTATTCATATCTGTGGTAATTAATTTTCTTTCATAGGATGTATTTAAATCACTTTTATCTCTTTGAATATCATTTTCTATATAACTACTTTCTAATTCTGTATCACTATCCTGTTTCGGAATACTGCTTTTTCTTTTTCTTTTATATTTTGTATACATATTTTTGTTCTGCCTCCTGAAAATAGTAAAAAAAAAGGTTAAAAATTATTTAATATTTTATAAATTTATTTAAATATTATTTGTAACTTACCTGGCATTATACTTGCCACTTTCTCTGTCTTCTTCCGAGGAGTGATTTTCTTCAGCCTCAGTTGTATCAACATCAACATATGCTAACCATTTACTTCTTTTTTTACTAACTTCTATATTAGAAGTAATATCTTCACAGCTATTTTCAGAAGTATTATCATCTTTACACTCTTCTGAACTGTCTTCAAGACTTTCAAGTACTGTGTTATCCTTCTCTCCTCTCAATTTGTTAAGTTTTTGTACATGCAGTCTACAGTCTTTTGCTATCCCGACACCATAATGTCTCTTAATAGATTGTTTCTCATTACATACTTTACATAAAAATTTATTGCTCTTTTTGCTGTGATGGACCTGTGTAACACGGAAAATAACATAGTTTTTAATATAAAGTACTGCAATAATTTTGCTGACTTGTTTGTGAAATATTTTTTTCAAGTAGTATTGTTTCAAAGAAATTGTGGTCAGGAGTAGCAGTTGCAATCAAATTAATAAATTATTGCTTAGTTTAAAATTATTAGTGTATAATATAATTATTACTCTCTTTTTTGTGATAAAAAAACGATATTTTTAAATAATTAATAAAATACCTGAAACGCTAAACATTTATAGCATCTTAACACTTGAAAAAGTTGTGGCATTATGAATTTGTTTTATCATTGCAGTCAATTAATTCATATAAATAAGCATTTGAACTCTACGGAACATTATATTTATATAGGGACTAAATAATTAAATATTATAGTCATATGAGTAATGAGCACATTCAAATCATAAAAATCATTTAAACCGGGAAAATAACCACAGATTGACACAATTCTTAACCAATCACAGAGAATCAAATTACAGATTATTAAAACTAATTACTCCCGACGGTATTTATATAAAATTTTAAACCATATTGTTTTAATGTATATAGAATTATTTCTCTGTAGGAGTATAAATGAAGATGACCTTTGTGTTTGGAATTGTTCATTATGGATCCCAGAAAAGGTTTATGAAAGTTTTTTTTAATATATGCTATGGCTTCGTTCCCAAACATTTTTATTTGACTATTTAAATTGTGAGAGTCTGCATAAACTAAATTTTAAATTATTACGTATAATATATATATGTATATATATATATATATATATATATATATATATATATATATATATATATATATATGAAAATATATAGATGTTTCTCTTAAAAAGATATTACGAAAATATCACAAAAATATAAATGTAATGTAAAAGAGGAATATAAAAACTAAACCAAAGTAAATAATTAAAATAAACTAAAGAAATATTCTTACGTACTTTATTATCTGAACCACATTCATCACAGTTTTCGTATGTCATATCAACATTTCTTCACCTTATAATAATAAATACACATCAATAGAGAATTGATAATAAATTACTTTTACTATACAATAAATAAAAAAATACAATTATTGCACATTGACGGAGTTTTATATAAATAAAAAATAAATATAGCAACAATATATAACACAAATCTTTAATTTCCCGTTACGGGAAAATTTGTATTTGGCCCTTCCAAAGGTGCTAACACAATAATTTTAAATAACTGATACTAAGACTTCTTTTGGATACCACAACCAGTAATTAAAAAAATGTTAAGTCAAGATAAATAATATTGGAATAACAAAACAAAGCTATCGCGGTAATGTTTAATGTCTATTTTATCTATCTATAACGATTTTTGGGTAATTTTGAGTAAGAAAAATTATTAAACCGAATGTTTTTTCTTTTTTAATATTCCTTGATTAATTTTCTATAACCATCACTCAAACAAATACGAAATTAATAGTTTTAAAGGGAGAAGATAAACTTTTAATAAATTGGTGTTAAAATATATTGTCTATAGACAGTCGAAACTGGTTCATGGTATTTTTTTTAATACGCTGGGTGAGGCGTCCAAAATTTTTATTTTTTTCTAAAGAAATACGAAGGTAATTTTGGACGAATAACCTTAGATTATATTTACATTTTTCGAATCCTACACTAAGGAAGAAGGATTAGAATATAGTAAGAGATGTAAAAATATGCACACGTCTAGATATGATTATAAGAAATGTTGACTAAATAGCTTTAAATAAAGAGAGAAGTTGAGCAAAATACGAAATAGTAAACATTCGTTTTTACAATTCACACTTCACATCCGACATACAGATGCATTTTTTTATACGAAAATTCCATCAAATTTTGAGCAATTTTGTTATTCTTTCGAGAAAATACAAGGAAGCATGAATATAAGAATGCTCTGTAATAGAAAGTGTAGGTAAATACTGTTTGTATGCTTAATTAAAGTCCCTAAAAAAATCTTCCAGTCTCTTTTCTCGACCCTTTACAGTTAAAATGCTTACGTACAGCATAAGTAAATAACCATTTCATGTGTATACAACATACAACAAAATTGTAAAAAATATATTTACATAAGATTAAAATCTGCTACATAATTATCTTTTGTAACCATTAGATCCATAAACGTGAGTCCTTCAATGAATAGGAACATAGGATTCATCGTAAATTTTAAACATTTGAAAATGCTATGCGTTAAAACACCTTCATACCGTCCAAATATTTAGAGATGAGACATTTATCTATACTATGGAAGAAAACACCTAATAAAACGGTAATACAACATCTGAATTATTTAAAATTTCACAACATCTTTGGCACGTTTGATTAAAGTTTGACACAAATATTGGCACAAAATATAAGCACGTAACAGGCCACAGTATTAGGCCTAGTCTCTATGAGAGTTTTGAGGAACTTTTATTTAGAGTCGTGTATGGGACTATATGAATGTTTTTCGTCTGCTATGTGCTATTCATCACTGTCGTTCTTCTAGTATAGCCTCGCCGCGCGGGTCCTCCTGACCCCTGGGCCTCGCATTCCCTCCGGACCCTTTCTATTATATCCGCTACTAATTTCTCCTCTCTTGATTTTCTTTCTTCCCAATCGGTTTTGTTGTTGTATTCTTCTGAAACTAGAGAAACATTTTTGAAATGGTTTGAAAATTTTGGCAATGAAGATGTCTCAAAAAGCAGTTTTATTTAATGTCAGTCAGTGAAGTACAAGGAGTATTTCTTATGTACTAGTTTTGACTTACCTCGCTGTGTCCTATTGGTCCGTTTAGTTTCAGGAGCTCGTATCAACACGCTACCAGTCTGTCTAACATTATTCTGATAATTTGGGACGCTTGACTTGGGTATGGAAAGTTCTGGATCCGGTTCCTCCTTAATCTCAGTTTGTGTGGGCGTCGTCTGTTTGGACATGGCTACGGCTTGTGAATTAGTCAAGACGGGACTAGAATCTGTTAGGACTTCGCTATGCCTGCTGGCTAGATGGCCGATATATCCTGTAAAAAACGATTTGATATATACTAGAACCAACAAATAAATAACACGCAACATTTCTTGATATCTATGCATTTTAAGCTAACCTTTTTCCTAATTTTAGTTCACTAATTCTGATAAGATATACATAGGTATAAGTATATACTTCCCAATAGGTTAATAAAAATTTTCTTAAAATATGATTTTTGAAAATAATTACAAGAAAAAGTGAATTAATGAATCTCATTTTATTCACTTACTCAATGCTTACCCTTTCGACTCTTGAAGTAGACCAAGCATTGTTCACATTGGAACAGCGGAGACGGGTTCAGCGGGTGTATGACGTGAAGTTTGTATTTGTGTCTGTACCAATGCGTTCTACTTTGGAGGATTTCACCACAGAGTTTACAAACAACGCTGCCGTCATTCCTCGTCATGTATTCTAAGAATTCATTCTTCGCTTTCGGTGTTTCTTTCTGATCTTTGCAATCAGAAGCGTCGTCATTGCTCGGTTTCTCTGTTAAAAAGTGCACCCCCGTGTCCTGTATGCCGTCTATAGCGTTCTGCTGATGATCATAATCATTGTATCCATTCCTCGAAGAATCTGATAGCACCTCTAGAGTTATTATCGGCATACTGTTTACGTCAGCGTCGTCTTCGTAAGAGTAATGGAACTCTGCAAGATAGTAGCAACAAATGATGTTGATGTACATATAAATAAGTAAATAATAAACAAAATAATACCGTTTCGAAGTAATGCTTGGAGCTGGAGTGCTGTTTACATGACAAATGTAAACATGGCGTTTGTTTTTTTTTAATCGACCTCACGCAGCGGATTCGCGTTCGGAGCCAACAATTAGCTTCATTATTAGGATTAAAATAATCAACACATAGTCTTTATATTTTTATTATTATTGTAGTGTACATAATTCCACATTACATTTCAATGAGTTGGTAAGATTCTTTTCCTTATACATATCTAATTAATTTCTTGTTATATAGAAATTAATTTATTCAGTAGCTTATATCAATTTATTGTTAAAGCTTTGCTGTTTGCAACGATAAATTCTAAATTAAAATATCCAGTTAAACTGTGGTACTTAGTAATGTTAACGTATATAAAGATTATAGAATCTAAACATATATTTAGTGCTTATATATTAAAAAAAAATACCATATGAATAGTAAGGTTAGTGTCCAATAACAAATATAGTCTCTGATTATCTAAAATGCTATCGACAGTTTCCATCCCCAATAAACAGCGTAGACCATCTCGTTACAGATAATATAATAATAATATAAAATAAAAATAAAAAAACGTAAAATACATTATACTATACAAGTATAGGTAATACTACACCGCTGAGTTGTTAAGCGGCTCAATAAATATAACCGTACACAGTAAACTAGTAAATTAATAGAATATAGAAAAAAAAACAACACACGTAAAAAAAAAACATTGCACTACCTTGAATCTAACTGTTGATATTACAATATTTAGAAGATAAATATGTACTTATATTAATGAAGTTCCATAAAAAAAAACTGTTATATTTACAAGACGGCTGTCAGCTGTGTCTATAAAAAATATACATATTGTTAACATTTCAAACTACAACAAGTCTATTTAAAAATTGTTATCAACGTGACGTAAAAAACGTTTTTAGGAAGATATGTTTATTTCAACCATCGCCATTTAATAAGAATGAAGGCACTTGTTCTGTGATAGTTACATGATATCTATGACCTATAGATACATTTAAACTATAATTATCTATGCGCTGCCTTGCAGCATGAGGGTAGAATGAGAAAAGAAAAAAAATGAAATAACAAAGAAGTTGGAGCCAACTTAGTTAGCACTAATATCACAAAACAAAATACTACAAAATAAGAAAAAGGAAAGAAATTATAATATAAATAACACTTCACCCGATGATATTAAAGGTTTAACAGGAATGAAAAACATCGCGTCCACGTAAACAGCTTCAGAGTTTTGTGCGTACGACTGGCGCTGGCGTAACTATATATAGAATAAATCACACTAATAAATGTTAATACCTTATCGGCAATAGTCTAACGAACATACATCTTATATATACAACCTTAACATAGAAATAAGAAAACTTAAAATTGTGCGCTACCCTCAAAAACATTCAACACGAAATCAATAATCATTTTAAGTAGTTAAAAATCTATATATAATCTAATATTGATATATAAATTGCTCGTTAAAACTCTATAAACTTATTTTATAACTTATTATAACGTGGTTATTAATTCTAACAAATTTTCCTTATCAATGGAAGAACTGCTGATTGTCGTTATCTGGTCCTAGGACGCTAGAACCGTCACCTAACTAACATCTATACTGAACAGTTAATGTAATGCGATATGCACTATGGCACTAAAACATTTATGCATTTATTTATGATGATATAAACAATAGGCTCACTAATATTTATATAGTATAAAATCTTAATATAAATAATCCGTATGTAATGCGTGTTTCGATATTCACAAGTATTATTTTCCTTTCACAGCTATTCTATGGATGGCCGATCATATGGGAACGCCACGCGGGCCTGGTCTGCTGTTTTTTTTAATCAACTACATTTATGGCTTTTCCACACGAGCACTTTTTGTGGCCGTTACGCTCATTAATGTCGATGTGTTGATGACAGTTCAAAGAAATAACGTTGTCGGGATGGAGCATAAAAAAATCAGCTGATGTGAAAAGGCCCTTATACTTTTGTAATGCGAAGACGGAAAACGTTACAGTCTTTGGTCGGCGTGTTGCTGTATAAGAAAATCTTATAAAATCTTATCCAAAAAATTTTAGTATACATTTTTTGAAGGCACATTAGATTACCAAAGCACCTTAAACTAACGTTAAAATGAACACGAAATAGTCGTAACTGGCCTCAGGATTGTGCATTATTGTCTAAAGAATCCACAACCGTACTCTTTACATAACATGAGCTCTGCGTAACAAACATTAGATATTAAATGCATAACATATTGGAAATACTTACAATAACAGTGTACATTAAAATTTCACTCCAAAAATAGAACAAATACTATGCCCATTAAACGTGGACTATTTGTAAACATCGATAATTTCTTAACATATAAAAGGCGTTTCGAAGGCACTATTAAAGTCACAAACATAACAGATTATCTGGAATATAATACTTGTCACGTGGCTTCGCTCAGGCTTGCGTCGGGTCGGGTGAAGAGTGGGATGGAGTGGAGCCGCGCGGGGATCCTGAGCCGATGGCCTCCAGCGTGACGCCGGGGGGCAGCTGGCCGTCCATACCTGGCAGCATGAAGAAAGCGTTCGGGTACACGCAGTCCTTCGGCACGTACGAGTCGTGTGTTGTCTTCATGTGGTTCTTCATCTTATCCGGCCTCGAGAACTCCTTGCAGCAGACGGGACATGGGAACACTTTCCTCTGCTGACCCTCGTGGTAGAGGAAGGCGTGTCTCTGGAATGAATACTTATTTTTGAAGGTCTTTTGTATGTTCTCTTTCGCGCATTCAATGCATTGATAGACGCCCTCGTTGACCGAGGCGTATCTGAACAGGTTCAAGCCCCTGACAGACATCTCGGTCAACTGTTCCGCGGGGTCGTTGGAGGCCGAGTTGGCTCTCCTCCTGATCCGTCTCCTCACAGCCGGTCTCTGCATCTGGTTCCCTCCTGTTGGTAACGTGTTATTATTAATGGAATCATTTTGATACTCGTTTGACGTGGAAGCTGACTGTGTAGCTGGGTTTACGCGGAGCTTCCCTTGGCCGTCGTGTGTGGGAGATAGCACATATTTACTGTCTTTGCTTTCGAAATCGGGTGTGCCACGCCCTGAAATTAAGCAATATTTATTATTTAACTATAATATATGAAAAAAAATATACAAAAAAAAAACATCGATCTAAAAACAAAAAAATATTAGCAGTACTGAATAGTGGGGTTTGCTGTGGGATAAAAAAAAAGAAACGAAAGACGAAAATATATTAATATTTATTTGTTCAAATTTAATGAAGAAATTAATTACACCATGAAAAATAAAAACGAAAAAACATGACAGATGGAACTACTTTAGAGACGAGCCCGCCATTACAATTATGATATAAGTAGCACCAATTTATAGAGTATCAATAAAGCTTGTTTGCACAGAGCGTAACGACGAACTTGTCCACAAATAACTCCCTATAAAATTATACATAATAGAAACAAAACATGAAAAAAATATATATCATACATATCTGCTGTGCAAATAGTTTTCCGTTAAAACACTAGGCAGTGGTAAAAAAAAAAATAAAGAGGAAAAATTAACGGAGTCGTAATAAGTCAATCTTCTAAAACTATCTAAAATAATATCTAAATCTACGTAATAAATTAAAAAAAAAAATGTAACAAAAAAGATAGTAATCACTATAGTTAAAATAGGACTCAAGTGATTGCATTTGGAACTATTTCGGCAAGTGTAAGTATTAGGTACATTGTAATAAATATTACCAGTTATCTTTTATTTCATCATAACATCACATAAGGTGGGTTGCATTCGATATAGACGAAATCTGGCAAGGAACATGCTAATAATCATATAGTTGCCGTTAGCAAGCCGCGCTGTCGTAAGGACATATATTATAAAATACAAAAGCAACAATTTGTACTGAACCAAAAATACTTTGTATCGCATAGCGTCAATTTGAGCAACATCGAAAGCATGTCAACTATTACTAACCACACCGTCTATGTGTACATCTTGTTACCTACCTCCTCAGTCCTCTTCGATAGTTCTACATACAATATAAAATATTCACTCAATTGTAAACAACACAATTATATTATATATTATAAATAACTTAGACTAATCTTTACTAATAACCCGTGTTGTTACTTTGCTACTATTAAAAATAGTTTCTCGTTAAATAAAAAAAAAATAATATTATCGTTGACGTTATCACCGAAGGTACGATCAAGTCATAGCGTTGTCAAAGTATGCACATCCCTTAAAGGTACACAAGGTACAACAAGTGAAACTAAGTACTATACATCCATAACCGACACATTTAGTGTGGACATTGCATTTTATACACATTTATACAACTCTTAAAACATGACAAACGTATGTCCACATGAAATAACAGACAATAAAGATATATAGATAATAAATAAGAAAGGTATCAAATAAAAATAAAAAAAAAGAAAAATAAATCAATGGAACATAACAATAACATCGAATACAAAAAGATTCATTTGAATTTTTTCAACTTTTATTTTTTTTAAAGACTCTAAAAATAGTAATTAACACCTTATTGTATACCATCGTATTCCAATAACATATAATTCTATGTCGTGTAACCTCCGAATCTAAAAGTTCTCTAAACGTACCAACTATTGTCTATGTGCAATAACAAAAGTAATCAGAATTCAACATTTGGCTATCAACTATTATATAATATGTCTGAGATTTGTGTCCAAATATATAGAGAGAGGTGTAAGAACCGTTTAAATATTTAAATCTGACGTTACGCATCCAACGTGAACCGCTCTGTCTAACCTTAAACTATTACTGAGGATTACTCTATAATACTATTAAAATTACCGTTCTACAATATTAAAACTGTTGATGATTATAAAATGAATATTATTTTTTTTGTTTGTTTTAAATCTTATGTGACAACGAATATTAAGATTTAAGTATCACTAGGTGAAGACACATTTTATCACATTAAAATTCTTTGTATCCGTTCTAAGTGGTGGTTAAATTCAAGTATTTTATTAGTTATTATAGATAATAAACATCCTCAGTCACAAGACGATACTACATTACATGAAACTTTTCGAATATAATCTGTGAATCATTCTTATTATAATAATATTTATATTCTGTAACACCTCTCTAACTATTTAATAATTGCAAGAAAAAAACAATGGACATATGCATTAATTAACTGTAATATTAATATTTGATACTCTGAAAAAATTGTTTTTTTTAAATATCGCCCTCTACATATATTGCTGAAATTTAAATATAATTCGTTATATTATAAGCATAGATTAATAATAATAATTAATCAACTGACGAATAAAATCTATTTTGTATCTGTGGAACAATGTCATGATATAATGTAATTAATAAATATAATCTGCACCAAAATAATAATCTATACATAAATATACAGCGGTAAATATAATCTAACTGCCTTAATGTAAAATAATGTAGATACATATAATAAAACAACAACGTCAACAAACATACACTTTAGGGACAATTCATTTACGTCGCATCAAATGCGACCTTAAGTTTAATTTAGCACCAATCGATGATATAGCTTTTAATAAATTATGTTCCATACATATAGAAATAAGATATTTTAATAACATAAATAGATTATATTCTTTCACTTTTATTATACAATCGTTTCAACAAATACAATAAATACATTTCATTATTTATATAGAATTAAAAGGAACTCTGAAAGGAGAATGACGATCAAGGAAAGAGAAGTCTCCGTTGAAAACAATCAGTTTAGGCACTGGCTAAATTGACTACATTTTATAATATGATTTATCCAATAAAGTTAGCCTCGACGACATATTATGTAAGTGTAAATTTCTTTCATTCATTAAGTACCTATCCGTTTCCAAGATAAATTTTTCCATATAAATTTTATGAAAGGTACAATAAATTCGTTTTTATGAATTTCTTTTTAACAGTCTTAAAATTTGTTTAAATTTTTTTTGCTCCGATTTACACATTAAGTGGGAAACATGAGATGACGTCCCTAAATTTAACTATGATCGTATGTATTTAACTACTTGGGCCTAGGAGGTTCTAACCTAAGGAAGCTTCTTAAAATAGATTTGTAAACTTCGAATAATGAAAATAATTATACATAATATTCTTTGAAATTTCTTAAACAGCTAATAGTCGTTAACTTATGAATGTACAAGTAAAGGCACACTAATAGGCAAGCGTTCCCTGGACCTACTACGTTTATGATTCAGAAACAGTATCGTATTGTGGGTTTACAAATAATAATAGCATTAGTGTCATGTTGTTTGTTGGAAGTTGTCTAATGTACTAATACCTGTTGAAGTCCGTATCGTTTGTACATGTCCGAAAAGTGTATAAGTGTAAATTTTCAAAGTAATCATTAATTCATCGACTATAAAACGAATAGAGAAGTGTCGCTATCAATACAATATGGAAGACTACATTCGCCTAGTAATATAACTAATAAGTACGATTTTCCCTAATATATTTTTTTAAGGCAATTTGATATCTACTAAAATAGAATTTACAAATCATCTCATGGTTCCAGTATGTTTTAATTTCTCACGAGCACCTTGCTTATAATCACTTGTAACGACTCCGCGTCGTTTTAATTTATAAAAAGTAAACGGTTTTTTTTATTTATATTATAATTTATAATATTATTTAAATATAATTCTGCTATAACATGAAATTGGTTGGAGATATATAGACGTAATATTGGATATTCAACGTCCCATAGTGATACTATCCCTATACGTGATTCCCCTACTATTAATTCAAGATATCAATATTGTCTTTGACAGATACGAGTTTAAAGGGTATTTTAATTGACCTACAGATATATTCAGTGTAAATATATGCATCTCGACCGTAATGACAAATAAAATGGAAAATATAACAAAAAATGTAACAAAGACGAAGACGTGTATCCGAGGAACTGAATCTAAAGTAATATTTGTTTTTTAATGAGATTATACGCTATTCCATAGACAAGAGACGCGGTCTGACTCGAACAGAATAACCTCTACAACCAAATATATCAACATTAATAAACTATTTTATATTAAACCTAAACAAAAAAAAATAATAATAATAACTACACAATAAAATCATAGCCCGTGTTGAGTTTTACTTCGAGAAGTTACTGTAAATTATACACCTAGGATCACTATTAAGGCAAGTTAAATGAAAATGCATTTCACACCACTACATATAATGGCGTCTGTAAGCCTTTTTGTATAGCCATAGCCTCTTCAGGAAATATTAAATATTCTGAACCTTATCATATATATTATCCGTACTTATACTACAAAAAGGCTCCGCCATTGGTATATTCGTAAAAATAACTCCTAAACTACATTAACTAATTCAGTTCAATGAGAATTGCGTGTAATCGAAAGGACTACGTTTGTTTTAACGATCACCGTGAGTAGTTACTTTGTACCCTGAAATATATTTTTTTTCGTAAGTAATAAAATTAAGTAACAAGTGAGTGCAACATAACAAGTAAAAATAAAAAGAATATAGAATCTCTAAGTTCAGCACTCTCGAGAAACAAAATGAAACAACATAAATAAATAGATCATTATAACAACGGGCGCGGGCCCATAACACCAACAACTTATTGTTACATCGTGAAACTTAGAGCTCGGACGCCTATTCATCGATCTACAAGTACGTACCAACCGCTAACCGTATATTGAAATCCTATATTTAATTATACCAATAAAATTATATCAGATCTGCAAACAATCTATTCAGTGGAGGTGTGTGATTAAGACTCTTGCTTAGCGGTCTGTTCGTTGGCGTTGGCCTGGTTCTTGTGTATGATCTTCAGATGAGCGATCATGTTGTCCTTGCGAGTGAACTCCTTGAAACATATCGGACACGGGAAGACCTTCACGTCTTTCTTGTGTGAGGTGACGTAATGCCTGCAGAAATTGCTGATGTGTGTATAAACTCTGGCGCATATCTTGCACCTGAATACATTCTCGCCTTCTTTGATGCAGTAATCCCTGACAGACTCATTCGTCTCCTCGTGGTAGTTGCCGACGTTTGCCATGTTATTTTTCCTGATGGGCGAAGGGAATATGCGTTGTTCCCAATTCGTCTGCCCCAGATCGGACACTTCGCTGTTGACCATGTTCAAGTTGTTCTGTTCCAATTCGGCTGCGAACAGCTGTGTGGCGAGAGCCGGCATGAGAACGGTTTCTGGCGGAAACTTATCGAAGCTGTTCAGTGCTGGATTTAAATTAGAGAGGCCAGAGAGCTGGTTGAACAGCGTGCGTGCTCTAAACTTAGACATTTGGGGTTGTAATTTTTTACTATTCTTTGGCTTTAAATTACGACCTAGTCTTATCTTGTCTTCGACGTCCTTGACGGGGCCGTCCTGGGAGTTGGAGTTCTCGCGGCTTCGGTCAGGATTGTATTTGTATTCGATGTGCTCATTGTATTCGTCATTCTGTTCACAGGCTGGTTCCTGTTTAATGGCTCCATTCTCGATTGACAATATCGGACCGTTTGATGGAAAATTTTGATGAGTTTCCTCTTTGGGCTGTTTATCATTATCTGAAATTTCATAACGATACTTCTTACATTTTGAATTGGTGGTTGTCGTATTTTTTTATATTTGATGATATTATCATAAATTGGAAATATTTTAGTATCCTATGGACTGTGCTAATGTTAATATTATATGATTTATTATTGAATATACTACGATATTTCCAATTTAGCCTTATGTGAAGGAAAGCTATTGGGAATAAGCCTTGTCTGTTTTCCCTTTTCTCGTTAAAATGTATATATGTGTTTCGAAAAATTAAAAGAATGAAATTTTATATCACTGAACCATAACCACACCGAAAATGCCCCTGGCCATTCCTCTAATAGCTCTCCCCGAAAGCAGAAAAGCAAGCAATAGTTATATTTCTTTTGTATAAGTAACAAGCGCTTATTTTTCGAATAAGTAACGTCATAAAAATTTTATAGATTATCACTTACCCCTTCAGAATAAACTTTAAATAAATATAATAGAGATATTTGAATTACACTTCACTTTTCACTTATTAAAAAAAATTCTAACATCAAAGCTTATATCCCAGTAGCTTTTCTCTTTTAAAAATTCATGGTATTTGATTAACTTAAACGTGTTAGGTAAATGGAAAGAAAGATTATAATATTTACAAAAGATAAGCGAAAAATCATCTTCTAAACATTTCATACGCGTTGTACATATATTCTGTTGAGAAAAATGTAATACGACCGATGATTTGATTTTATGTGTCGTAAAAGGATAACTTACGCTAAGAGGTACATACTAACAAGAACTAAGTCCGCAACTAACTTTAATACAAAGCACGTACCTGCTGATTCTGAGTCTTTGCCGGACTGGGGAGCCTCGTTGGACTGTGCGTCGTCTCCTTCGTCTATCATGAGCGCTTCCCCAGCATCCTCGCCCCCAGAGGTGACTCCGTCTTCCGCGTTAAAACTATCCATGGACATTTTGACCTCCAACATTTCCGGCGAGCCACGTATCAGTTGGTCCCCGGCTCTGTTTGACGACGTGTGCGATGCTGACTCAGGGATGAATTCTCCCGGAGGACTCGCGGCGGTGTTGAGGGCATCGCTGGAACTCCCACTCAGTTTCCTTGGTCGGCCTCGTTTTCGCTTCGGTTGCATCAACGCATTGCCCAATAAAGGCATCAGTAGATTAGGAGGCGCTCCTCCGCTGGGTATGCCAGACGCAGGCCTCTTTTGGTGCATGTACGGGTGTATTCTGTGTAATTGCGGTGGCGGAGTGTGAGCGGTGTTGCCCTGTTGCTGTTGTATCAAAGAGTTCGTCAGGGCGGGTATATCGCATTTCTCCTCATTGACCTCTGTCAGCCCCTTGATCCTTAAACTCTCGGCTACTTTCAGAAACGCCGTCAGACGTTCCTGGTCGACGCTCACTTCACCCCGGTACATGAAATCTAACAAGCTCTTCATGTCCGAGTAAGGTACGTCTTTAAGTATAACGATTGGATGTTTCTCTTGGTGATTGACAAACAGGGCTTGAAAGTACGGACTGCAAGCCGATAGAACCATTTTATGAGCTTTAAGCAACTGGCCTTCAACAGCCAGCGTGACGTCAGTGAAGGTCTCAGCGTGGAGGAGCTGATCGAACACCGACAACATGTTAGTCTGGTGATTGTTCCAACGCAAACAAAATCTTTGTGTAGCCATCTTGTCCCGTGTCCCTTCTTAGGAAGATATTATAAATACCAGTCGTGGCATAAAATCTAACGTATCAACAATAATTCAATGATGTATACATAAGTGTTCTCTCGTATTCCATGAACAATACAATAAATCTTTAACAATGAATAATGTTTACTTAGTAGCCATCTTTAATTTGTTTCATAGTGTTAGTGCTAGTGCTGTGACGGGCGCTAGGAGATCTGTAAAAGAAGAAACGATACATTTAAGATGACAGAACGGAAAGCAGATTGTGCCGTATCGGTTGAAGTGACTGATAAAATGTATTGGCAACAAAAACCGATAAATCATAAGTATAATCTATTTTACACAAATAATCATTATATGAAAAGACCTACACAAATATTTTTTAAATTAAATATAATAGTTTGTATTCATCAATCAATCATTATTTTAATCAATGAGTAATGGAAAAATAAAATTATGCTATTGAATTACTTAATAAACAAGAAACGGAGTAGCTATTAACGTATAGGCTTCAAAATACGCAGGTTTATTTTTAATAATGGTAATATATTTGTTTTCTACCTCTTCATAAATTTTTTGTCATAAATGTCACCCGTAATTTTACGTACCTACATAACAATTATTGATAGGTAATTATGACGTATAATTACTATGATTAGCTTAAATCACCTAAATTAAAAATCATTTCGTAACTATTCTATTCAATTTTCTATCCGCTCTGTAATGAAAAAAAACAAAAATATTTTTTTGTTAACTACACCCAATACGTAATTTTATTTATTTTAAGAAGGAAATATATTTAATATACTATAAAACTAAGTTCAAGGATTATTATATTTATATTTTAAGTGACCCAGTAGATACCTATTATATACAATCAAGGTTAAAAAAGCGGAGGGCGCCTCTAGCGGGCGGACGGTCCGTGCATCAGAGAGCGCACTGCAGTAGGAAAACATACGTGTTAGCTAGGTATGTACCTACATGAATATAACTATACCTCTATGTAAAAATATATCACTGCAAAGCTCATATTTATATACACGAACACTAAGAATATACCGAAAATTCCGCTTGACAAAATCCTATCAGAATCTTATAAGAACATTAATAATATAATATCTGAAAACATAATACGCTCCACATCCACAGGTGCCGAGTGCTGACCACGAGCGTTATCTGTATAAACGGGCGCACGAATTATTACTACGCACCCAGCGGAGCGCGTTACATTACGTCATCACAATGGCATTATTACCTACGATATCCACATTAACTCACAATACGGCGAGATAAGAATGCTTCTGCTAACAATTATATCACTTCACTAACATAATGTGACATACCACGCGTATCTGCACCACAATCAACTCGACCCTTTTATGGGAATGAGGATCAGCCCTTCCGCCATAGTCCGAGACCGCGTTTACGTCGCACCCCGCTCACCCGACGACTGACGGGCGACGGCCGCAGCCCGCAACCCCGCGCCGCGAACACGACTCGCTCCGCTACTCGAATATCTCACACAAAAAATACGTCGTCATCATCGAAATGGCGGCAGCGGATACATTCAGCGCGGGGTGCACCTTCACATATTGATTTATTGAAATTTATTGATTTACTCTCGAGCCGAGAACACCCTTATGTTACGTCATTTGCTAAAATAACCTAGCTGTCATTTTTATCTGTCGGGGTTGTCGCTTTTAATGTGGCGTGATTATCGAATGGGGATTTATTTATACATATTATTATCTTGCCTGATAGCGTTATAGGGGCGAGACCGGTATTTCGCACGGCGCTGTTTAATTCAATAATTCGTTTTGTACTTAACATTTAAAAACGTTTAATTCATTCCAATCATTTAATACCTGCGAGCCCTAAACTGACTTATGTCAAATTGATATTTACGACATTAGAGTCATCTAAAAATAAATATATCAAAATCAAAACAGCCTCCCGTCTTCCCGTCGAGTGCGATCCGTAGTTTGAAATAATCCTACGTGGGTTACTCAAAAATTCATTGAAAGATATTGAAACAAACATTGTCATAGACATACCTTTCCATAAATATGTTGAAGGGATGAGTTTTCCACGTGAAAAACATCAATCCATTCGTGTTGTCGCCATGTCAGCAGCGTGTTCTATCTCTGTCGCACACTAGCGGGGTGGGTGGGACGCCTTCCTCGAGGCGATCGCCGGCGGAGATGGCCGATCTCAACCACTTTTCGCAACCGAACGCACCCGACACCGATACGGAAAATAGACCGGGGCGCACTTTATTATTATTATTATTTTTAATATAAAAATACACTCCGCATACACACCGAAATAGAACCTTTTTTATAGTTTTTTTTTAAATTAAACACAGACTCGACCGAGAAATTAAAATTTAAATCCTTAATAATTTTATTGTCAAGGATGCAAGGATGAACGTAAAGTACGCGCGCGTTTTGTAAGTCGGAAGTGTTTTTAATAAAAATGGCCTGCCGCCTCGGCGGGAGGAGTGGCAATGGGCAATGAGGTCGGTACCCTCTCTCTGGCAGCTCGCCCCTCCCTGCCTCACCGGCACAGGGTTAGAAAGTTACTAAAGTGAATCGAGGAAAACGCTGCATGGCCGCGCATACACCGCCTGGATCATGGGAACAGATCGCCCCGATAGGGATGCCGGCTATATATTATGACATTACAAACTTCAAACGTAATAACTACACTTTTGACATGTATTATTATTTTAATTACATAAAACGACACAGGTTTATATTGAAGTACAAAAGGGTATAGCCATGATAGCATTATCACTGGCACTTCTCATTCAGGGCAGGGGCGTGATGGGAGATCTTTGATATCAGCTTATCAGTGTAGATTTATCTCGCATCAATCATCAAAAATGGGCTGTAATAGTCAAGTGACATGAGATCCAGCAGACTAAAGCGTTCCGCTGTACTATCATAACAGATTATTTTATTTCAAATTCATATAGATCACTTTACATGAATAATTATGTTGCTGGCTGGATATAAAAATAAAAGATTTGAATAAAAAAAACTTATAAAATAGGCTGGTTTTAAATAAATTTTTGTAAAGTTGTAAGAAATAATGATTTTATTAACAAACTTATACGATGTTGTAATTAATGTGTAGATTCCCTAATTTTCTGTATTATCTATCTGAAGCAATCTGTTTTTGTACTCCCAATGCTGAATAATTAATTGATATTGCGTACTGTGTATAATATCAATTGAATTGTATGTATCTGACAATTGGGGCTTACATAAAATTATCTCAATCAATACTTTAATTTACATATTCGAATGTTTTTCTTTTTTTAATCATTAATTTAAATAGTATGTTGATATATATTAATAAATTTGGTTTATTAAAAAAATAATTCAAAACGTATAAAGTCAACTGGCGTTTTTAGGTCGCCATTTTGAATAAAACATATTTTTGAAGAAAAAAAAATATCTTCATTTTACGAATCAATTTTGTTTCAGATACCTGATATAATTAATATTAAAAAGATTTTTAATATTTTTTATAAAACTCTAAACGATTTAATTCAATTGACTATTAGTTCATTGCATTATAATGATCATTAACAAAACTTCCGATTAATTATTACCATTATTTAAAATCAATGACTAATTTCTTGAAAAATTATAATTTGTTAACTAGTTTTAAATAGAAAACATATTAATTATACAGTCTTGTTGTTATTATATATATAATTAATGGGCATAGAATATTTTTATCGATCCGCTGTACCGTCAGTGCTGACCTGACCTAGGTCATCGTGTCACTGTAATCTGAAGTCCTTACAGAGGTGACCTGGTTTATAGACTCGCTTGGAGCACAAGGGCTGCATTTTCCACTTAACAGCATTGACCTGGAATCCTGAAAACAGACACCTGATGCCTCGAACATTTTTGTTCATAATTTTTAAACTATTACGTTTTAAACATAAAGTACATTATAAAACTAATATATGATTATTTAATCATCGATAAATATGAGCGAGGATAATGAATTTGTCCTAATTAAATATTTAAATTAGAATAACGAAGATTATTACGCAATTTTCTTACGATAACACGATACGACGTTCTATAGTTGTAGATGGTAAGAAACTTTCATTATTAACGTGCTACAGATTAATTTGATGTTAGTGTAGCGTTTTGTATCGGATTTCCTTAAATAAAATTACTTATATTTTTATTAAAATTATCTCAACAATAAATCTGTATCAAGCTATTATTAAGTAAATCAAATTAAAAAACTGTTAAACTACAATTCTGAAATCTTTTTGAAATTCGGTTCCTATTTTTAATAAATTCTATTTCTAAATAATTTTATAAAATGGAAGCCGATAAAAAATATAACGTTACAATAGTCTTGTTGTTTTTTTTATTCTCATATGTTATACGAGTGAATCTATTCAAATTTTTTATAATGAGTAATCAAAAAGTGGTAGTACATAGCATGATGCGAAATGGCCACAAGTGCCAATGAATAAGCGGAATCTTGGTAACGGCTTAGAGAACGGTAACTTTAAACTGTGAGGTAAAAGCTGCATACAAAAAGAAATCCTTCAGCTTTCTAACGCGCATCTTAACACAAGATAATATCTAAACACCATCGCAACCAAATTTCTTATCATTATATGTCCTTTTAGTTAAAAGTTATCTTACAATTAGCTTGGATAATTGGATATAGGTTTTTTGAATAACTTTTATTGATAAATACGATAATAAAGGAATCTAACTCAGTATTATCTTAAAAAATCATAGGTAAATAACAAATATTAATAAATTTCTATCAAAATCATTAGATAGATATATCTTTATGATATGTAGCGTGTTCATTTCCTTCGTAAGTATGAGGAAAAAAGTTCCGCAATGTTCAAATTATAGATGAGAAATAAAAAATTTGGTGCAGTGGGAGGTGGAAGGGCCCGTCCTGCTAGATTTGAGCCGTCTAACGGTGAGGTTTCGGTTCATTGACTCGATTCGGACGCTCAATTTTCGCTGTACTGTTAGATCTCGGTGTTATAACAGACAGACGTTCAGATCTGTGTTGTTCGATCCCTTAAATTATATACATATAATGTTACAGAACCTTCGGCTAGTCTGGAACGATTTATGAATATATAAAACTGATCGTTTATGAACAAAACCGTTGCGAAATGGTTTTGATAATAGAAACGAAATGTTACGCAGATTTCAAACTGAAAAATAATATTAACTGTCTTGAGAATACTTTTGAAAACATATATATTATAGCTATTGATTACTCGTATTAAATCTAGTTTGATATTAATTTAGATCAAACTAAAATAATTCTGAGATTAAGATGGTGTATAAACTGTAAATTATTACGCGTTTCATCAGCCAGTATCGATTTATTTCGAATGGTTTGAATTCAGAAATAAAACAGTGATATTGTATTAAAAAAATAAAAACTAAGTACATTTCTAATCGAACCTTCTAGAGTCATATCCAATGCGGGGAATGTTTACAGTTAGCATTGCTTTTTATGTGACAAGGGAGTGTCCCTGCCAACTCCCAGTTCTGAGAAGGGCACTGAGGACTGAGGAGCTTATCTCTTATATCTCGTATGTAAAACACGATGGGCGAATGTTCTGCAACTTTAGATATCACTGCTGACCCATCTAGGCATTCGGAAATCTGCATTCGACTGAATTATTCCTAAGAATACAATAAAAAAAATTACACCTTTTTATATTATAGGAATAGTTTTAAATGTATTCGATATTATTATAAATTGACGTAATAAAATCTAAAAATGTATTCCACATGTGAGTTTGACAAATTAAATGGCTGGAGTGTTATTTTTTTTACGTCGTATGTAGGTCAGGAGCCCTTCAAATGCAAATTTCATAAATTAATGCATGCACACACACTCGTTACTCTGGGATTTAATATTTTTTTTGGTTTCTTAAGTTTATTAAAAAAATATATATTCTGATGTTTTTTTTTTTAAACATTAACTTATAAAAATTTAGGAACATTCTTGACAAAATTTTCTAATAAGCTACTACTCTTTCTTTATGGCACATTGTAAGCTTCTAATTTGCAATAATTATTATTTCCGAACATTATCTAAACCATGTTTAATTAAAACATAATATTTTATAATAACTAATGTACCTTATTGGTTTATGTCAGTAAATTTGAGTCGTAAATCCTATCGGAAATATTGAACATGTTTAACTGAAGCAATTTACTTAGAAACAAATAGAGTACTCGATCAGTAAGATTAAACTAATTCTATATCACGAAGACGCTTTCACGCAAATCGATTAACCCTTTATCTAATCTTTAGTTTACAGTTGTTTGTCTATTAAAAAATGTAGTACACGTTCACTAACGAATAATATTAAATTAAATATATATAAATTAAGATATAATAGTAATATTCATTATAAAAAACGTTCCAAGTAAAGTGATCCTTCTGATATTTGTCGCAATGGAAATGCAGTAGAGAAACAAGGTCACGGACTCGCTGCTCTGAGCGACGTCGGGGACGGGGGAAGGGGATCATTGTTCTCGGGAAATTATACTTTCCACTCGCTGTTTTTTTTATTACTATTTTGCCTTTAATTACGTCAACATTTCTACTTAATGTAGGTACTATATAGAACGTCATTTTAGGTTATATGTATTCTAAATGCGTTTTTTATGTCATTATTATTATAGTTAGAACAAGGTTAAAACTATGTTATAATGTACGAGATGTACAGCATATTATAATGTATATTGTATAGTAATTAGTGTGAATGCGGTTCTGAAAGCGTTTAGAAGCGATTCCATTAGGGTATGGCGTTCTCAGGGCAAAATGGCGGTGATGCGGAGGCGCGCGAGTGGTTGTGATTGCGTAAGCTCGGGGCCGATTTCTAGCTCGAGTCAATCGGCTCCCACGCCGCAAGGTCAAATAGGATTGCTTCTTCTGAAGACGGGCGAATTATTACAATTTATTAAGTTCAGATACCATGACTTATATAACATCGAATATAAGCTAATACAATACAATTGTTGAATAGTTCCGCATTATTAGAACGTATTTTTTTAATTAATTATAATTGTCTGAGCCGTAATACATTGAAATGAGTTTATGTTGATTGTTGGTTACTAAAAGTTTGTCATTTATGTTGCCACCTAGTGAAATCCTATCTCCAACCTTTGCTCGAATGACATTTATCCCTTATAAACATAAAAGATATAGTAAACGCAATTTGTACATGGATTAAGTATGAAGGTGTGTATGCATTCTAGTTTTAGTACCGTTTTATAGTTGTTTTATGCTTCGGCGAGCCGATCAAAGGTATTAATTCCTACACGTAGTGCTGCACAAATGATGTATTTCATGTACAAACATAGCTTGTGAGTACACGTAGTTAAATAGATAATCTCAACCACCATACTAGCGTGAGACCTTGGGAGGCGACGCCTACCTACCACGTTAGTAGTTAGTAGGTACTACTGTAATTTGCAAAACGCGAAAATAGCCTCTATTTGGGGATGCCGCAAGTTCTAATATCACTTTTATAAACCACAGTGACATTGCATTGATTGTCTCATAATGGAATCCTGATTTACTTTGTACGTTTTACGAAATTGATACATCATCTGCCATTACAAGATTCAAATAAAGAAAATAATCAACTTAAAATAGGTTTAAAACGTGATTGAAAGTTTTTATGCAATAATTTATGTAATATATCTCTTTTCTTTTATATTAAAAGAAAGTATATTGTAGAACTAAACAGGAACTCGTCCGCGACCTTGTCATTTGTTTTGTCAATTGTCAAATGTCAATCAACCCTGGTATGGTTATTAATTGATTGGATCCGAATAAAATGTAGCTACAATATTTTACCCAACAAAATAACTTATCGATACAAAAATAGCTGTTCGATTTATTTATAATATATATTTATTACAAATAACATTGCATAATCTGTAATAAAAAATATGTATATATATTTTTTATTTCACTTTGACGTTTATAATGTCACGCTTTGGAAAAAACCATTGACAGCTTCATGTATTTTCTCATATTTATATATAGCAGGAACTAATATTTTCGCCGTATATACACACCTCGTGCTAATTCTACAAGAATGAAGCTGTCGTGCAAATGGTAGTTTGAAAGATCAATATTTGTCTATTACTGTACTGTTTTGTGACGAGCGACCAACAAATATAGATCTACGGCGTCTTTGGCGTTTATAAAACTAGATAATATTAAATATTCCGATGATTTATTGTTTGATTTATATAATGTATACTATTAATTCATTTAGACAGACATTTTATTTATATTTTAATAGAATTTAAATGTCACTTATAATTCTGAATGACTCGGAGAAGTGAGACGTAGCAAATTATTTAAATAATAATTAATATGTTATATACTAAATTATATGATTTTTTATAATTACTTTTTCATATAAATACTAATAGTTTGGATTTCAGTAATTTATATATTTTTAAAACGAAAAACATTTCCCACTTATTAATTAAATTATGAAACCCAAGCACTAAGAGCATCAATAAATTTAGATATATTATGTATCTATATATATATTTGTATTCTATATAACCTTTTTTGTATTCCCATGTACCTGTTTCAACGTCCGTCTAGTTCTCAGAGGGACGGAGGTTTTTTAGGCGGTCTCTGCGCACGCGCATGTGAATCCGCGCAGTACAGCAATACTCATAGACAAGCATTAGAAAGAGATGGTGAATATGAAATTAGGGTGGTTATACGCCGGGTCAACGACCTGCAGCGACACGCGTCTCAATGATTTTGATTATTTTGATTTTGTTATATATACTAATAGAATATTACTATGTAAGTGATTGAGAAATATTCATTATTCGACATACTATATGTTATTGGAAATATAATTTTGACTTATTAATAATTTAATGTTATAATTAATTTTAATTTTTTTGTCTAAACAACAGTATCGATAGTGTCTCATTAAGGTATAGTCACAAATTGTATCTGAAAACTTAGTTTGACTTTTCAAAGTAAGTTTTCACACACATTTTTCATCTTTATGACTTTCTCAATTATTTTTTTCTATTATTTGAAATGTAAATATAAATAAAATACAATTAATCGAGAGTAAATAACTTATTCCCGAATATAACCTGTATATATACATAAATATGATTATAAAATTCACAATATTACTATAATTTTACGAAATTATTGATAATATTTTATATCCAACATATCATGAGCCCTCTACACGAGGTTCCCTTAACTTATGACAGACCAAGATTGGACAATGGATGGTAAAGTATTATATTTATAATAAACTAGCTTTTGCCGCGACTCCGTCCGCGTGGAGTAGTGACTTCCGGCAGATTTTTGGTTCTTCCCACATAGTTCCCGTTCTTACGGGGTTTTCGGAATGGTCAACTTCCCGTAGAGTTTTCAGGATAAAACCTATGTTTTTTTTTAATTCACAATGAAATACTCTTAACCAGCAACATATTTATTTGTTTATTTGAAAAAAGATTTTATAAAATTATTTCGACCAAATTAGGTACCATAAAAACGGTTTTTGTGCGTTAATCTTAAAAGATAGACATATACTGTCGCGGACTGTTTTTTAGATCATTAAAACAGCTATTATTCTTTAATACATATTTTTTGTGTTACTTGAACCGTTTTTACGGCGCACGCAACGGAAGGCTTCAAAGATGAAATAATTTCTCCCGTTTTTTACACATTTACCACTATATCTTTGCTCCTATTGGTCGTAGCGTAATGTTATATAGCCCAAAGCCTTCCTTGATAACTGGACTATCCAACACAAAAAGAATTATTCAATTAGAACAAGTAGTTTCGGAGATTAGCGCTTTCAAACAAACAAACAAACAAACTCTTCAGCTTTATAATATTAGTATAGATTACTATGAAAGCTCACTATCAATAATTTCTTGGACATTTATAAAACACCACAAAAATCATTATGTAATTTTGTCATATACAAACAGACGATATGATAATGTCGACCTTCACGTCATTTTTTTATCACTCCTTCCCAAAAATAGTTATAATAATATTTAGATAGAAAAAATGATTTTTCAAAGTATAGTTAATCTACTAATCATTTATCAAATATCTTGCGAAGAAAGTATTTTGCATACAGAATAAAATTTGTGATTGATAATAATAAAACAATTAATACAGGCGAAGTCGCGGGCATTACCTAGTGATTTTTAAAAGTAAAGAATACGCATAATTATAGCAAATTCAGCGACGACCTGATAATTGCATGAAATATATTGTAATTAACGACAACACAAATTAATAATATGTGCTCTGTATGCATAATTTATTGTTTATTAGATATAAGGAGTATAAACTGAATTAGTTGAAAAGAAAAAGCTAAGAAAATATAGAATTATTTGTCGATTTTTTCTTATCAAAGAAATAATTATATTTTTATTGTACTCAACGCCATTCCAGAGATTAAAAAACTATAGAAAGTCATATTACTTTATGGAAATAATACTTTAAACTTATTAATATTGTACGCACGTATTTTATAAATCTGTAATTACAAGTGACATATTGTATTAGTCAATAATTATGTCATTACAATATAAGGATAAATATTTTATCCTTAAACATGCATCCACTTACAAAGATATAACAATGAATCATATCAAAGAAGTTTGAAATCATTTTCCTGGTCTTTAATATTGTTGATAGTTGTTTGTTACATATGTTTACGACTTTCGATTTTCTTATTCATCTCTCTTTAATTAAAGATTTACAAACATATCACGTACAATAAATAAAAATAAGGACGTTTTTTTATTCAAATGCGTAATCAAAGATCCAACATCATACTGCCAACGTCCTCAAACAGCCGAGTCAATAAAAACTTAAATTTTTAAGTAAACGCATGGTAGACGGAAATAGACAAATTTTCGGTCCCCCGTACAGCCTCTTGCCTTTCTCTACAGCTGGGGCCATCGCCTCCGATGGTTTGGGAGCGTAGCCTTATTGCGCAAACGCTTCCCACGTGCATCCGAAAGGCGCACTCATCGGACCGTTATTTTTTCTACTTCACAACAAGTTACAGCGTCATTCATCTCGTAAAATTGGAATGTTTAATTAGAGAAAGGGCGCTCGTGTTGACGAGAAGTCGCGTTATTGCGATGAGGACCCTTGTATTAAAACATTTCTGATAACGACTGTATTTAGTAGAATGAATCAATACGACATAGACTAAACATTGTTCAAGCACATATCAATAATGAGTAAAATGTATTCAATGAGAAAGTTTACTATAAATGATAATAACAACATTACTATATAGTTCTAGTGTTATAAAATTATAAATATACATACGATTCCTTATAACATGGACATTTTAAATCACTATCGCAATTCGTGAGTAACCCTGAGGTGCGGGTTGCGCGGGCGACGAGAGGCCCCGAGAGGTGACCACCGCGCGTCGCCCGCTCCCCTCCCGCTCCCCTCCCGCCCGCTACACCCTCTACACGTGAGGAAATTTTAACATCTAATATCAAGCCTTCCAACACATTAAAACTTGTATATAATAACCGAACATACCATATTTATAGTTGTTGCAGACGTAACAAAGGGATTTTGTATGTGTAATGAAATATGCATTATACAAAAACAAATAAATATTAATTTATTTAAGTGATGGCAGAATGCATGTATACACGTGCGTGATAAAAAATAGTACGAAAAAATAAGAACTATGATTTGAAAAATAAAAATGGCGCGCGTAATTCAGCGACCCTGAGATGACGTGTCGCTCGGAGGCCACAAATAATGCGCCCGCGCCGCTCCCCCGCCCTTCGCACGAGAAAATTTATACTTATTATTTTTTTTACATAACAGAAAATTACAGGTCGCATTGAATTTGCAAATTTATGTATGCATCCGTAATTTCCTATCCTCGGCACGGAGCTATGAATATGTAAAATTAATAAACATGTTTGTTTGGGTGTTTATTTCTGTTTTCCACGTGTTTCGAAATGTTTTATATTCATAATATGAGAAAATTTGGAACACGAATACATTTGAATACGTGATAATCAAGTTTACTTTCTTGATACTCAAGTTCAAGATTAAAGTTCGTCGTGTTTGAAACATCCAAATATTGTTTATTTTCAAAAGCTAGCCCCTTATGAAAATGTTAACACGTGCGTAACATTGGCATAATAGCCCTATTTAAATAAAAATAACTATGTAGAATATATGTTAAGAGAAAAGAAATCTGCTTCAAATTTTAAACCAGTAATTATGTAGACTTTATGAATATAAAAGAAACTGTAGTTACCGACACCGCTATTATAATCGTCACTTGTTTTATCATATAATTGATGCTTTAAAAAAACAATGCATTTATTAAAATTAACGGACCATAAATAGGGTATATTATATACCAAAAATTTATGCACATATTGAATACTGACACATTTTCATAGTTTGATATATATACTAATATATTATACGCAACTTATTCTACCAATCGCACTTCAAAACACGGAGATTTATGTCTTTAATAGGTAAACTCCAAAAATATAAATAAAAAAACGTAACAGATATTTCTTGATTATAGGGCGATACGAAGTTCGCCGGGTCTTCTAGTATTGATATAAAAATCAGTTTAGTTTATCCAAATATTGCAGTAACATCTTGCTTTTTCATATAGTTCTCATCAGTATGAAGAGCGCTTCCAACTCTTCAAGTTTAGTATATTAGTGTTGTGTATATATATTTGTAACAGGACGCGAGGGTCTCAGCTCATATCGAGGGTCAGGGGTCATGATAAGCGCTCTCCACTCCACTAACCTTACAGAGCTGATCGTAAAGATAATGCACTACACTCGTCAGCTAAAGATTTTAGTTTCTCACACATTTATTATAAAGAATTATTAAGTTTTTCATATATTTTGTGTTACAAACTTTACGTTCTTTTTATATGTATGTTGGTGATTTGATTAAAACTGTTCCTTAAAGGCTAACGCCAATTAATATTTACGTTGAATCAAATAATAAACAAGATTTGTTTTTCTTATATGACATTAGTTTATGTTTTGATATTCATTTATGTACATGATGGAGGAAATTTCAGGTCAATGAATCCCTACTAATATTATAAATGCGAAAGTAACTCTGTCTGTCTGTCTGTCTGTCTGTCTGTCTACGCTTTCACGCCTAAACCACTGAACTGATTTTAATGAAATTCGGTACAGAGATAGAGTTGACCTTGAGAAAGAACATAGGATAGTTTTTATCCCAGACTTTTGAAAGGTTCTCTTGGAAACGCGATATAACCGAACTCCACGCGGCGAAGCTGCGGGCGGAAAGCTAGTAGGTTATAATTTATACTAAAGTCATTTTTGATTATTTCCTTGCGGAAACGGGTATTTTTAAGTCATTGAGCGCTTAGAAATGCTTAATATGTGGTATGAAAATGAGTGACGTTTATTTTTTCCTCTGAATTTTAATAAAACATTTACAGGAGTGATCTCTAGAGTCTAGGGCATTGGTTTACTACAAGTTTGAATTGTCACACTGCATGATGAGCGTTTGAATTTTTTTTTGAGAAGTAATAGCCCATGATTGTATCAATTGAGTTATATATTTTAAGAATTTAATTACGTTTCCATAGGTTTCCTAATTATTAAAATAGATTCCAAATTACTGCATTGATGAATTCAAAGAAGTGATGTTACACTGTAGTCGAATAAAAAAGTCAGACAAATAACTTTATACGTAAATTTTATTATAATAAGATAGCAATAATAAAAAAGAAACTGTAAGTGATTTAATAGTATTTCTTACTTACTTTAGTAAATAAAATGAAGTCTTCAACAAATTATTCATGAAAAATTCGAATGTCTACAAAGGATTCGCGGCGTTTCCATCAAGTGGAAACAATTAAAAGTTATTTTATTCTGATTTTTCCGTCATGAAAATCAGAATACAACGGATACTGACATTTACCAGATTACAATCGGGGTCGCATCAATGAGAGGGCACGGGTTCACCGGAAGTCAGCTAGCGAGGGTACTATTTGATTGTGATGCAAATTCCCTATTTCCGGTGGGGCACGCAACAGGTGGGGGTCGCGCCACCGAGCAATCACTACCACTCATATTGACAATACTGATGTTACTGTTTTATATGTACTAATAATTAAATAAACTTTCTTCGTAAAATATAAAAAATCATTATATGTATACAGTGTGTATAGCCATTAAAAACAGTGGACATTTTTTAAGTTATAGCATTCAAAGAACAACATCATTCGACTTACTACATATAAACCGTTCTTAAATTATAATACACAAATAAAAATTAAAATAAACTATTTGAGATAATATAGAAATAAAAATAATTAATAAAATGTCTATATTTAACGCACTGAATGATGAGAAATTTATAAAAATGAACAATTAACCTTCAATAAAAAAAAAATCACGAACGAATAGGTAATTGCCATTCAAATATCCTTTTCCGGCGAGGGTGTAGGGTGGTGTGCGTACAGCCGTTAAAAATAAAATGCCACAGACTTTACACACGTAATTGTTTTCGTCGCCCCGCCATTTTATAAATAGCGTTGGTCAATTTTGCTTCCTGTGATATATGCGGTGTTACAAATTAATGCTCAAAAACTATATAATTCATTTTAATTCTGAATTTATTAAAAATAATGAATGGCGTCAGCGAAAAGTATGACAATGTTTAGTATAATTTGCTTTAGACGATAGAAAATAATACTTATTATAGTATTTACAAGTCCTCTTAATTGTCTATATTCATAACAAAATTAAAAATAAACATAGATTTCTGAAGTTATTATTAAGTTGAAGTACTGTTTAAGTTGTTACATTATCTGTGCTTAATGATTTAAAATCATACAAAGAGTTTCTGTAAGTAGCCTTACACGGTTCACGTTATCTTAAGTAATGTAAGAGATGATAAATATATTGAATGCATCCAATACATCTTGTTACGTCACTAATTGAATGTCGTACAATACATAAACGATGGTATGTTTAATTTAAGACTGCATATAAGTATGTTGAGTTCATCTAAATATGCAAAATAATAACTTTATATAAGTATTCCAAGGAACGTCACCCAAGCGTGCGCAGACGCAGGGGGCGGCCACCCCGGCCCGAGGTCGTTCACCTCTCCCCCCCCGCGCCGCCAGCCCCGCGGGCTCCTCACAATCACAGCCCTTTGTGCTCGGAGGGCTAGCGGAGGGCAAGGACCATTTGTTTCTTTGTTTTGAAATACCTTCCATGTTGAAGGGGTCTGCAGGTACTCGGCTCTGGTCACTGGAATCTTTGTTTCGGAGAACGAAATATCTTAGAATTTAGTACCATTGTCACAAACGCCTTTGTTTACAGATTATATTTCATGTATTAGTTATACTTATTATTATTCTATATAAATAAAATCGTCAATTGTGTAAGTCTTCAGTTTCATATTGACACCAAAATAAACATTTGCAAGCAACTGTACGACAATTAAGTGTATGCCAAAAATGTCTGATATAAAACCTCAACTTAATTGTAAATTAAAATTCCGAGACAACGAATTCCATGAGTGAGGTACGTTTAAAGCAATTTATTTCGATTTGTCCGCTTACGAACCCCTCTTATTATGAATGGGAATAAATAAAATAGGGTTATCTAGAGTTTGTTTCCTTTGGGGTAGTTACTGGAGCGGTAACTAACACAAGTAGCGATCCATGAAGCAACCCTGAACCATCACGCTAAATGATTTTACCGCATTGGGAACTTTAACGGACAAGTGTAATTTATAGCTATTAAGTTTTCGATTTTATAGCTATTCGTTTCATGAACACCGCGACCCATTTAGCGTAAATCCGCGAGAGGCGTACAATAATGTATCATTTACTAAAACTAAGAACGAGTTTGAATTCAAAAACATTCTACCGATGAAAGCGGTAAAGACTTTAAATACATATATCTTAAATATTCCAATTAATCTAATCGTATAAAACCCGTACCAGTGAATCGGTAACATGCATAGTATCTGAACAAATCCTATCGCCCACGAACGATCGTGTAATAAATTTTTTCATTAAAAAACACCCTCACAAAATAAACGGACAAAAAGAAGCACCCCACGTCAAGCCCGCATACCGGCGGAGCAACTCGATCGTGTCAAATTGAACTGAATTTAGTACATCACAGTACCAATTACGGACAGACATCACGGAATTATACATACATACAATTATAAACTTTAAATTCAACACATAAAATACAATTTCCTTTATAACCAGTACAAATGTGTACAGTTTGTGAGGGTGCGAATAATAGGGGTTTGTTTCGATGAATGAAATAATTTATTCATATGATTGTAGATTATAACATGTAGGTACCTAACATTGAAATATATACTTTATGTTTTCATTCGTTCGGAACACACGTATTCAAATGTTAATTAGTACGGGAAGTACCTGTTGCTTTTGGAGAAATTATATAAAAATTAAAAAGGTTTTATAATTACCATATAACAAACAGGTCTAGTCCACAGATTATATAATGTCAATGTCATTATTGACATTCAATTCTATTTTATTCTACATTTTTGAACAACATAATTATTTTAATATATAATTCAGTATTAATGAATTATTATTGTTATTTTTACTGTATTTTTATGCTATGTCCATTTTTATATCCAAGCGAAGTGGTCGTCTGTCAGTAGTCTAACAATCAATCAAATCTTCATGAATCGATGTCATTTCATTATCAACGTAAGTAGGTTCTGAGGACGTGATGTCTTTAATAGACCAATACACGGTACATATTACAAACTTGAGACGAGACTGACAAAAAATACACAGAAATGCAATTTGTATTTACAATAGAGAAAATGTACTGTAACATAAACGAGGTTTTTGCAACGTACATGTAAGGATAAAAATATAAAGAATTTTGTGATTTTTCGTCATTTAAATTAGTTATTATATATTTTTGTAAACAATGTCAATGTCACTTTCGTTTAGTCTCGTCTTAAAACCCTTTATAAACACTTCTACAAATATTTTATTCCTACTTAAAGTACAAACGTTTTATTTATTCCTATATTCAGATTATCTTTCAGTATGTTCTGTTATAGCATACATTTCCAAACTGTTTAACAGCAACATAAACTATCGACTGACCAATCGACATTCCAAAACGAATACAGTCTGTGCAAGTTTTGACATTTGCCCGTCACCCGATGCGTTTTGACAAATCATTTATATTTTATGAGTTTCAATATGTTTTATCTTCAGTTCCTTTGATAAGATTGTAACAGCGATCAAATGGGGTAGAATAAAGTTACACCCACACGGATATTGTATAATAACCTGTAACTGAAGCACCCTCTATGCTTATCGCTGGGTCGCGGTGTCAAACGACAAGTGCTGGTTGGAACAACGATATACAGATACTGGAAACGATCATCAACTAATTATAATAAACAAACGCCTAGTTTTGGAATACTTCGATAGTTTAAAATATGTATAGGATATTTTCATAATACGTAACTTCTTTGTATCGTATTATGTATATTAAATTTTCTATTAATATCACATCATTATCTAAGTACAATTTAAATCGAACTTCTTTTAATAATATTCATATATTAATTCTATGTTTTACGTTCATATTTCGTTCTATTGAATGTTACACTTGTTTTGTCAAGAGCCGCTTCCATAGTGTGTGTATCGTGGTGGTGACGTCACGCAGTCATGGCATGTCACGTGACAGCACGAGTGCCGACATGGGGAGCGCGCTCATTCATATTATTGTATATTTTGACGCGGTCTGGTGGCCATAAAGAATGACAAACGTACGTAAATACAGCTCGGACATATTTAATTACGATTTTTAATTAAAATTGTTACATTAAGACCGGTCATGTACTTAATTTTTGTGATTTTTTTTGTTGTTCAGCGCCGGACATTTTTAACGTCTTTTTGTAATATGAACGGAGTGAGGTAAAAGAACATATTGTTTTCGGGAGAATCTAAGAATTGAAACAAATTTCTGACGATAATACTTAGGTATTATTACGAATTGTATGCTTTGAAATGCTAAGATTTTCAACTCCATACTGCTTCGATCTTTTATTAGCACTATGAATTTAGTAACTTGCAAATTTTATTGTATTTATTTTATAGACATACTAAATATAAAAAATATTTTATTAATAATAAAAGCAACGTAAAGCAAGTGCAGTTTCTAATTGAACTACTGTTATAATAAACATTTCCGTACGACTATGTGTATTTCAAGACGTAATTAGACCGAGGTATAAAAACAAAGTCCTTTGTTCTAGCCACATTATATCTAATTGCAGCACAAAACATCTAAATCTTGAAGAAATCCCACGACTCCGTCCTCGAGGGGACTGGGAATGGAGGCGGTTTTATTTTTTTTAACATCGTCCGAAGAGGGATGACCGTCGCCTTTTTGTTTTCGTTTTAAAAATATCCAAGTTTTGGCTCTGGTGTGAATCGTTCTAAACTTGATTAAATCGTACATATATTAAACTTATTACGTCAGTAATAATTCTTTTTATTATGAAACACAAATTTAGAAATTGTCAGCCTTAATTAATAGTATAGTTGTGTTATAAAAATTTCCAACAATAAGCTAAGTAACTGTTTCAAACACAGTTAGCTTTCTCTCCTAGTATATATTGTTTTACCTTTAGCCGGCACACTCGGTTAATGTTTACTCACAGTTTTTATTGCCAGCAAAAATTATTGCCTTGCGGTTGTTGATACTTATTATAACAAATAAAATTACATTTTTAATATATCCTTATACTTTAAATTTATTAACTTAATAAATGCAAATGATTTAGTTTTTCATATTTATATGGCATTTAAAAAACTTTTTTATCCGCCATGCTTAATAATGCATAAATGGAATGACTCTTATAATGGATGGCTCACTCCCTGACCGTAAATTCATTAAAGGCTAGGGAGAGCTAAATATAAACATGGATCGATAACTGAAATCACTGATGCAGTGAATATAATAAAAAAAAAAAACAAAAAAAATCTCGATATATTGTCTATGCTTTCGATCTAAATTGGCTATGGTATTGTTTTTTAAAACAAACTTGTGACTTATGAAACAGTTAATTGAAAATGTTTTGAAAACTAAGTAGAGATATACATTATAAATAATAGCCATTAAATTAGCTTTATATTAATTTTATAATGTTACAATTTAAATGGTTTGTTTGTCACACATACAAAACATATAGAGCTTGCTGTTCAGAATAACAATGAACATTTGATAATCTAATCTGACAACCCTAGCTATATGCGGGTATTATCAGGGAGGTGCCACCCCTAGGTGTATACAGGTGCCCTAAAATAGATCCTACAATATTATAATGCATCTGCGCGGATCGATGCTCGTCACTGTACACGAAAAGTCAATTAATACCCGTATATGTTGACCTAATTGATATATTCCGGGTCCCATTTATACCTACTATAACTACAGTCGCTGTACAGAACACGTGAATTTCAAAAGGGAAGCTAGAATTAATGGGATTAATTAATATTTTGTATGTTTTGTATAATTAATTTAGTAATAAATGATCCTTAATAGTAATTAAAGTTTATTACTCTGTGAGGTAATGTTTAATTATATATAGACTTGGTTTAATTCGATAATAATTTAAAATTATGTGAGTATATCTTCTCGTCTGTCCCTACTCCGAGATGTATATGTATATATTTAAATTCTTATCTTTATATATGGGTAGGTATATGTATTTGTAAGAAGTAGCTTTTTAATTCAAACTTGAATTATTTTTGTTTAATTTGTTCATTGCTCTGTTCACATACAGTGCGTGCTTATCGTTGCCAAGATGGAAATTTTTTGATCTTGAGGAAATATAATTTGATTTATCAATCGTTTAAATAATAATAATAGTTCAAAAACTATATTTCATTTATTTTATATAACGATTTTTGTTATAAAAACAAATTAAAAATCTTTTTATGAACGTCTAAGCACTAAGTTTTCTAAGGGCGAGACATTAATATAATCAAAAAATAAAGATATTTTAAAAATTGTACCTAACTAAGAAACATAACGCAATCGTCACGATATTATACAACACCGTTGGTCTAGAAAATAATAAACAACATAATAGCTAATATAAATAAAATGTAAACAGATTACAAAACTGAAACATTCCAATATTTATAACAGCTATGAGTGGAGAGCTTGTTACATTCAGTTGCGTATG